GCACGTATGTTTACAAAGCCCCAAAACCATACTAAACACACTGTACCTCTGTTTATTAGACGTTCTTCACCCCCCAGCTGACTCTAACCATGCAGACACCCCATCAACAATCAGAGGCAACACTACCCAACCATTGCTGCACATGTGAGACCACAACAGTTGCCAGGCAACACTACCCCAGCAGGAGTCGGAGTCGGAGTCAAACAGGACATTAATCATTTTGAGCACAAACGTGTTGGATTGGCAGGATCTGGTTGACAGGGAATTCTACTAGTTAGATTACATAAGAAGTGTGATTGAAAACAAACAAAACAAACCATGGTGATTCATCTCGAGTTCACGCAGAGGCCAAGGAACAATCATGAAGCAGATGTGTTCATTAAGGGGGCTTGAGAAGACAACTGCTGCTGGCATGGTATATTCTTCTCTTGCTTCTTTTCCCCTCCCTTTGAGGCCCAACCACCATCTGACACCAGCTGTGGTTTATGACCCTGGCTACCATGACAACAAGCTTTGCATTAAAACCTGCCTCTCTAAGGTCTCCTATGATTATCTGTACCTAATAACAGTGATATTGTGACTGGCCTTCTTCCTAAGAAGGGTTATGAGTATGCATGTGCAGAACCTTCTGATGAGAAACCACTCTGATGGAGGCAAGAATGTCATGAATAAATAAATACATGTGAATCAATGTGCATGAGAGAGAGGGAGAATTGAGATTTCTTTCACCCTTAAAAGGGTTCTTCAAGGGTTCTTTAGAAAAAGAAAATATATGTGTAATATATGTACACTATATGGACAAAAGTATTGGGACACCCTAATTCAGGTGTTTCAGCCACACTCATTGCTAACAGGTGCATCAAATTAAACATATAGCCTTGCAGTCTCGATAGACAAACACTGGCAGTAGAATGGGTTGTACTGATAAGCTCAGTAAATTTAGACGTGGCACTGTCTATGAAATTTCTGTCCTGCTAGATCTGCCCCTGTCAACTGTAAGTGCTGTTACTTACTCACACAGACTCACAGAGTGGGGCCGCTGAGTGCTGAAGTGCAAAGTGATTTGTTTTTGCATGCATGTTATTTTCCTTGTTTTATTTCTATAGCACTTTGGCCAATGTGCTATAGAAATAAAAGTGACGTATGCATTAAAATGGCTCTTTGAGTGTGTATGGTTGTATATAGAATCATTAGCTCCACCAAAGAATCATTTTTAAGAGCGGACAAGTCAAATGACCACTTTCGGTACTATATAGAACCCTTTTTTGCTGAATACAGTATACATACATACATACATCATCTAAACCGCTTATCCTTCTGGGTCGCGGGGGGTGCTGGAGCCTATCCCAGCTGTCATTGGGCGGAAGGCAGGATACACCCTGGACAGGTTACAGTATACATTTATTTTCAAAAGTTTAGAATCACTTGTCATACAACAACAACGTATATACTTTAGATTCAAATCAGAATAGAAATTACACATCAAATGGCATTTTTAAATGTTTTATTCAATATTTCAATTATTTTGGGAACAAGAAGTTATCTAGAATGTGTTTATTATTAATAAATACTACACTGTAATTTTCTATTTACATAAAATTATCAGTCTTGAGATCGAATCACTATTACAATACGAGACAATCTGAATATTTTTTTATTATAAACTCAATTAGCAGTGCTGCAGAGCTTTCTCAGGCGTTTGAGACAATGGGCACATCTAAAGTGCATTAGTTTTTTACAGCTTCCAACAAATTATTTAAAACCTACAAACTTACAGAGTAACATCAGCATTTTATACATGTATATGCAAAAAAATTGGTACTTAAATTATTGAAAACGTTGATTTGAAACAGCAGTTAACTAAACATCTCAGCACAATAATGCTGATCTAGGATCAGATTGTTTCCTCTTCATTCAGGTCACAAGAGACCAAAGATGCTAAGGAAGCTTCAGGAACACCTGCCAGGCCTCTGAACATTTGTGTCGGCCCTGGCTCAGCACTAGCAACTTGACACTCAATTAACTCTCATCCCAACAAGCACACTGGACCCTTCAATCATCCAGGGGAATCCCACTCTTCATTTCCACTAATTAATGCATATTTACTCTACACCTAATGAGCCAGCGCATGAAGAAGAGGTGTGTTAAGGGACCTCGCTGGTTAATAAACAGCTAAATGACAAGTGTTGTCAATGGCCCTCCCAAAAATGACATAATGCGTCTCACTGGTCTCTTCAATTTCTGTTTAGCGCCATTCATCTGATGGTCAAGTAAAGGATGTGACTCTACAGCATGTCCACTGATCTTATTATTGAATTAATATTGACTAATATGAATGCTGTAGTATCACAGTGACAGTACAGATGTTTATATATACTCTTGCTGCCCTAAAAGAAACACAAATTGGTGACTTTACAAGAAAACACAAAAATGGTCTTAACTTTCAATGTAAATTAATGTGAAAGAGTATTATTTTAAGTGATTTTGGAGCATTTCTATTGGTCCATTCACCATGAAATTTTTGCACAATGTAAAGGACAGCTGCTTTGTTCAGATGGTGTAGAAAAATAACAATTGACAAATATAGATTTGTTTTTTGACCAGCGACTATCCTAGACTTTACAGTCTAACACAGGATATGATTGATACTGCTGGGCTTCTGTCATTATGCGCTTTTAATTGTTGTGCCATCGCTATGCTGATAAACACACTAACATTGTAGAAATAAAGGGGAGAATGCACTCGACAAAGACCACGGCCATATTTAGACTAATGTAATGCTGTCCACCAGGGTGTAATTACAAACCGCCATGAGAGTCAGGCAGTGTAAGCAAGCTGTGGGAACTCCTCTCCTCTCCTCTCCTCTCTAATGTGAAAGTAAGAGGACTTCAGCACCAAACTCTCGACCCAGCTAAATGCTTATAAATATTTAAAAGCTTCCTGTGCTTGTACCTGTATCAGAATGGGTGACAGTGGGTGTGTCTCAAATCACCGCCTTGTTCCCTATGTAGGGAATCTTCTATGACGTAAAGAGAGAGTGACCTGATTAGGTCATAGAAGGCATTTCCATGGCTTTGTGTGACTTAACCATTGTGACATCACACATAAATAAGCTATGTTCTTAAAAAACTGCTGACTGTTATCTGACTGGTAACTGTAGGCCTGCAGCAGATGTACTTCAAACATTCTTTTATTAGGTCATAAAGGTCCCTTAGTTTAGTGGTTTGTTGGAGCACAACCTTTGTGACATCACAAACACTTGACATCACATATGACACTTGATAGAATAGTAATAATCCATACTATCTAATACTTTTATCTGTTAATTGACTGGCAAACGTAGGATCAGTGCAGATGACCTATCAGCTAACAAAAGGAAGACATCATATTACATATTTAACATTTAAAAACACAAAATGTAGTATTTTAAACATAATGTGGCATCAGAGCACGTGTTTCTTTTCCGTTCAAGTGAAGCAGTAGTGTAGTGAGTTCAAGACATGTTTTCATGCTTATTTTAGGTTATTCAGTGCATTAGAAATGTTTAGGCTTGTTTTTGCAGGGACTCATCACTGTAGCAGGAGAGCTGGGGAGGTCGAGAGCCAGCTACCAGGACCACTTCCCTTGTTGTATTCTCTTTGCTGTGTCCAGTTCTAAGTAAAGCCACATTATGGACAAGAACTTCAAGTTGCCTGAAGTTTATTCTGAGAAGCCTCTGTGTTACAGTCCTATGAAATGAGAGAGACCTGATTATGTCATAAAGGGCACTAGGTTTACTGGGTTATTGGAGCACAGCCATTGTGACATCACTAACAAAAAACACTTGCATTTGACAGAACTGTAATAATTGATAACAATCTAACCTGCTAACAGTCTGACAAAAATAGACGTAGAGTGCACAACCTAACAGCCACACATACACTTCAACGTTGAGAAAAAACTAAATTTAGATTATAGTTTGATTAAATGTTGAAGTATTAGTGAGAAATAACAGGCGCTGGATGTGACCAATTCAACCACGAACTTGAACTGATTTTTTAATGTTAGTTGCTTTAAGTTTGATGCATTATGGGATCCATCAGATCAGTGTTTTCCCTCCCTACACACTTAAAAAGGGTTCTTCAACGGTGATATAGAACCATTTCATGCTTAAATGGTTCTTCAGATTGATGGAGAACGTATGGTTCTATATAGAACCTTTGTGGAAAAAGGTTCTATATAGCACCAAAAAGGGCTCTGCTATTGTTACAATATCAAGCTTGCAACAATAGCAGAGCCCTTTTTGGTGCTATATAGAACCATTTTAACAAAGGTTCTATAGAAGAAGAACCATTTCACCATGCAAAGAACCATTTAAGCATGAAATGATTCTACACAGAACTCATGGTTCAAAATAGAACCATTCTCTTTACTAAAGAACCCTTAAAGAGCCATCTTTTTGAAGAGTGTACGTTATTGTGGGGGTGACTGTATTAGGGGACGAACGGTCAAGTGCACTAGGTTCTGTTTCTTCATTAGGTCACCTCAGAAAATGGATGGGTCCCCGGATAGTGCACTAGTCTGTACAGGGAACAGTCTAAAACACACCCAGCGCTTCTAAATCGAAACAATCACACGTGTTGGCGATGGTTCAGCCTTCTACCTCAGGCAAACAAGCAAAAACAGTCAGAGTGTTCGGCCAGGGTGGGCTTCGTTACAGTACTGCATTTCTAAAGTGCATTTCTTCGTTATGTTCGCTCGAGCTCACGTGCACATCGCTGTCTGACCCGCGCGCAGTGAGCACTGCACTGCTCTTCGATACATTAAGAGGAGGTGAATGAGCCTCTGTCTGCTGAGAAACAGCGCAGGGTTCGGTGGGCTTTTGGAACAGGATGGCACGTTTGCAGTGCTGGGTGCAGCTCGGAGTGGTTTCTTCTGTCTGAGAAGGGACCACCGAGAATCCCCCCTCCCCACCCGCCCCGTGCGCCACTGCTCATGCGCTTTAAGTGATGGACCATGGAGAGATGCTGATCACACCGCCGTGCTGCGTCTCTCCAGGAGCTTGTTTCGTCCTGCTTCGCCTCGCTCTGCACCATGTCCGAGCCTGATGGACCTCTCTGCGAAATGGCCATTGCGGGAGGCTCGCAGTGTCTCGAGGATTGTACTAAGACTGGCGTCGTTTTCTTTACGTAATCTTACAGCCACTACTTGCGCGTTTTGTCCTCGGTCGCTTCGTCTGCGATAGTGCTTCGCTGTGGGAGCGTTTTTCTTTTTTTCTCTCTCCCTCCCTCTCAGAAGAATACAACATCCCCCCCTCGGCGTTCCTGCTTGGCTTTTGTTTCTGTATTGGAAAGGCATGCCACGTTACTGTGATGTGCAGTGGATAAACAGAGCTCAGCCTGGGAATTGCTCTCTGGCAAACCTTGACATATCCTGATCTGAAGCTAAACACTGTTAAGGTAATGTAGGCCTACCTATGTAATCAGCTGCTTTACAACGCTGTGTTTACATGGGCGCATTAAAAGATGGGACAGTGCATACGGGAAATGGTGCAATGCAACACTACTGCCTTGGGGCACTAGAGGCCATAACATCTCACCTTTACAATGAGTTCATACTTAGCAAAACTGTTGCTGATGTTCAACCGTGGAATTGTTTTTAAAGGATTTATCTGCCATGTGTGCCTTAATCTGTCTGAATGAATGCCTTGTTTGTAAACCTGTTATTATGCATGCATGAGCGAGACGCTTGCCAGTCTTTTCACTAGCAATGTCATAAATGACTCATGCTCATTTTTATGACCGTACTACGCTCTATTGATGAACTCCCTTAGTTTCAGCAATACTTGAGCTGTCTTGTTTTTGCTTTTCTGTTTCAGCTCCGTTCAGCCGATCCTGCGTGAAGAGGGAGTTAAAAAGCAGATCCCAAATTTTCAAGGTTTTAAAACCACTTAAGAGAGTGGAAGGTATGTCATCCTCTATGGGACTGTGCATCAGGTGGACTGTCTGTATGTCCCTGGTCCTTCTACAGACGCCAGGGAGTGCTGGCTCAATAGTGAATTTCCACAAAACGTGCATATGTGCCAGTAACATTGTGAGCTGCTCCAAGATGAACTTAACCACCGTTCCGACGGACCTGCCCAAGTACATGGCGGTGCTCGACCTGAGCTACAACGACATCACCCGGCTGCGGGCGGAATGGACCACGTACAAACTCCCCAAACTCCACAACCTTTTACTGAGCCACAACGGCTTGAACTTCATCTCCACGGAAGCGTTCGTTTATGTCAGGCAGCTGCGCTACCTTGACCTTTCCTCCAACAACCTGCGCCAACTGGACGAGTACATCTTCGAACAGCTGGGGCAGCTGGAGGTGCTTCTGCTGTACAACAACCAGATCTCTCAGATCGACCGCACCGCCTTCTCGGGCCTCAGCAACCTGCAGAAGCTCTACCTGAGCCAGAACCAGGTGTCCCGCTTCCCTCTGGAGCTGGTCAAGGACAAGACGCGGCTGGAGAAGCTGAGCTTGTTGGACTTGTCTTCCAACCGGATCAAGGTCCTCCCTGTGCAAGATCTGCAGGGCCTGCCAGCCTGGATCAAGAACGGACTCTACTTCCACAACAACACTCTTATCTGTGACTGCGAGCTGTACAAGTTGATGGCTCACTGGTACATGCGACGGCTGAACTCAGCCGTGGACTTCAAAGATGACTACACCTGCATACCACCGGGGTCTGAAAAGAAGCGCATTTTCGAGCTAAATATGCACATGAACTGCAGCACGTTTAACGAGTCAGTGGAGGAGGCTTTTTTGGAGCAAAACCTGGTCCTCAGTTGTGACACCCGGCATCGGTACATGTCCAAGACGTGGATGCTGCCTGGCAACATAGTAGTGTCCCCTGGCAACAACAACCAGAGTGCATCAGTTCTCCCAGATGGAAACCTGGAGGTCCGCTCGATTAAACTTGAGGATTCTGGTCAATACACGTGCTTTGCTGTGAGCGAATACCTTAACGAAACCCTGTACGTCTGGGTGAAGGTGCATAACTTTACTCTGAGTGGACATGGCGATACCCTCAACACAGCGTACACGACTCTAGTGGCCTGCTTGGCCAGCGTGGTCCTGGTGCTTATCTACCTGTACCTGACCCCTTGCCGCTGCTTCTGCTGTCCAGGGCAAGGCAAGTCTAAGAACAATCATGAGGACAGCATCCACTCCTCCATGCTCAGTGCCACGCCAACGCATGAGGATCTGGCAACCAAAGCTGAGCTCAGTAGGCATGTCGCCTTCATAGACCCCAAGGACCTGCAGGGCCAGAATGGGAAAGTGAACCCCAATGGGGAAGAGGAGCTGGATGAGGAAGCTAGGCAGGGGAAAGGCAAACGGAAGAAATCAGTGGCGGACTCCATTAGTTCAGTCTTCTCCGACACACCCATTGTGGTTTGAGCGGATAGTGTCCAGTGTTCTGGACTGGGAGAGGCCTTCTGTTGTGGATGTATGTCATAAGACCTTTATCCAGAGACACTGAGCCGTTGTGACTTCCCTGGATAAAGAAAGTGACAGTTCTCACTCTTCGGCATTTGGCTGATGAAATATACAGTGTTATATCACTTTCCTTTGTGAGTTTGACAAGGACAAGGTAGAAAAAATAACCTTTCCAGCATTTTAATCTGTAGCATTTAAGTATATACTGTGAAAAGGTCTTGCCATGTACGGTAAGTGGACTTGATCGTTGAGAAGTGGGGAAGCAGATGGGGGAAAAAAAAGATTAGTTTCTCCATGAATAGCAACTGGAAAGCCTTATTATTCAATAAGAGATGTTTAAAGATAGATACATCCACTATATAATCAAGTCATAAGCATGATTCCTACAGACTGCTGATGTTAAGAATATAAATTGGTGCCCTATAGCCATTAGTATAGACAGTATTTATTCTCCCCTTCCCCAAATGCTAACTTACCAGCATCACCACGTTATATATAGACTTCAGTCATGAGTCATTGCTACAGGAGTGGCATGCCATTACGTTGAAACAGCATTACGTTGAATGCTGAATAGTGTTGGAGGGATGTAGCAAGATTTGCATCTGCTTTTAGAAATTCAACACCTTCAAGCTTAAAGGGAAACTATGTGGAATCTTAGTAGAAACGCATCCTGTTGAAAAACTTCAGCCTGGGTCAGTTTTAAGTATAGTAAAAGTAGAAAAGGAGGAATTATAACTGCCACTTGTCCTTTAGAGGAACAGAATGATCCCTATTATTTTGGTTATTGTTCATACAGTGAAGAATCATGTGTACCAGAATTTAGTTAGCTGTTTAAAATTAAGCCAAAGTTTATTTCATTGCATTGCAATTGCAGACACTTGCAATAAAAGCCCGGTCAGGAACTGTTGAAACAGGGTTACAGCTCCTGAGCTTTCTAACAAAAAGCTCAGTAACCATATGTTTTAGTTGTATGCCGGCCTGTAACGTGCAGTCCAATGCTGTTGTTGAAAGTACGGTTTGTTGTAGCATCAAAAACTGGAACTGAGCTGCCAGCACCCCGTTTGGGCTTTAAACATCACTTCAAATTGATGTCAGATTAACAATAGCGTTGCTTTTCATCCGCCGCTTAAGAGTAAATTAAATGGCTGTGTTGTGCGCACTGAAAATTTTAATCTTTAAACAATGGCACCTAATTACGTTACGACTGCCATTCTTTCTTAGGATATCAATCATATGCACAGCATCATTTGCATGAGGCTGTCTGTCATGACAACCGGAGAGGGATACATTACCTGAATGCTAATGACCTTTTTAAATAGATTAAGGCATCGCTGTTGCTTGTCTGTAGTAAAGAAAGAGACGTTCCAGGATTCAGAAGCCAAAAAAATGTTTTTCAGACATCTGGTTCTCAAGCCTTTTCTCGAGTTCAGATTTGCATATTTTGGTGGCTTTTAGTCATAGCTGAGTCATCCATTGTCGGAATGTTTTCTAAATGATTGGGCCAGTCTCTAATTACATCTCAGACCCCTAGGGCTCTTTGTAATCTTGATGAGAAAACAAAGGCCAGAGACGGAGGGGGGGAACAGGCGTTTGTTTCGATCCAGAATCAGTGGTAATAATCTGAACAAATTTTTCCTGGTGAATTAAGATGCAGTTGTTGGAATTGTTTTAAAGTGGTTTGTTCAAGTCCAAGGTAGTGGTGAACACTAGGGGTGCACAATGATATCGGTGTCATATCAGTAGATATTTGCTTAAAAATGTCACCATTGGACAGATGTTTCAATTTAAGTGGCATTTCACAACGATAGTTGAAGATGTTTTTATTGTGCTGAGCTAAAATGTCTGCTTTCTATTCATTTTACTGCATTTGTAACCATCTACAAAAAGCTAGATTTCTCTGTAATGTTTATCCATACATTTTGTAGATGTTTATGTATCAGCATGAGCAGATAGATACATGAAAAACATTGGACATCTGCATTGGCCTACATTTCCCATATCAGTGCATCTCTAGTGTATACCATTTCACTGAAGTCGTATGGTTTTTATTAGTGATTACTTTGTTGACTATTTAAAGGGACTAAAATAATAGTAATAAACAGCACTAAGAGTGTTCTAGATAGTTTCTGAAGCTGCAGTAATTTACTTAGGTGTAACCTATGTGCATATATGCCTATATATGCATATGCATCAATTACATTACAATCCACTGACAGTATTCTATATATATCTATATATACATATTGATGCTATTGGACTAAAATCTTGTACCTTCAAAATGCTGACTTTATAGGAGAAGGAAAAAAAACACACTTTACTTTTAATGTATGTCAATGGAACCAGATTTTTTTCCAAGTCATTTTGGGCCATTTCTGTTAGTCCACTCATCATGAAATTTATACACAATGTAAAGGGCATCTTTACATTTCTAATATATGTCAAAAACTGAAAAACTGACAAAAATGGAGATACAAGGTTTTGTTCTGACAGCAGCGATATGAATATTGATGCTATTGGACAAAATCTTGCACCTTCAAAATGGTAACTTTACAGGAGAAAGAAAAACATTCTTTTGATGGACATTAATGCAAAACATTTTATTCCAAGTTATTTTGGAGCATTTCTATTGATCGATTCTTCATAAACTTTTGAAACCCAGTACTCTTCAGCAATCAAATAGCAAGTGGACTTGACTCGAATCTTTAGACTAAGATTCAACAAACCCAATGTACAAGCATGAGCATGAGAGAAGATGTCCTGACAGTCCAAAACAAATCAGAGAACGTTTGAGAACATTGCTTTGGCATGCCCTGGTTTTCAGTGTACTTGTGCATAGCACACACAGTCCATGTAGCACTCAGGCGTGACACACTATAGCTCTATCCCAACACCATTAATAATTAGGGTTCTCCGGTTTCTTATTTGCTCAGACGGACAGGAGACAGAGCAGATTAGAGTGGCATGGCAGCCAGATCAAGCTCACTTTCACCCTGCTTGTCTTTTAGGACTCTTCAGATAGAAAGTAAAGGCAGGAGACGCATCTCTGTGGTAATAATATGCAGAGGACAATATCAGTTGGCAGCAGAGGAATCATTTTTGGTACAGTTCGTGTAACATGACACTACCAATACAATGTTTCATATTGAACATTCTAATTCTGATGTATTTTATGATCCAATTTTCCCAGCAAACGGTGAGCATGTCTGGTTGCACAGTATTATCTCAGGGAAGAAGTAATGGAAAACGAGAGCAGCTGTGATGGACAGTGACAGGCAGTGGGCAGTTTTAGGCCTTTTTAAATGCCTCTTCAGCTGAAGCCAAAATTCTGTGACGAGTTGGTGTCCTCACCATCATGATCTCCATGGGAAGAGTGCCAGTGTCTCAAAAACGCGCTTCACCTGGGCGAGAGACATTGACAGCCAAGTGCTTTCCCAAGCAAGATCTAGTGGCCCTTCGGCCATTGTCATGTGTTTTCTTGGAGTATCAGTCCTTGGGTATTCTTAGGTGGCAGCAGTATTCTATTATTACTCTCTGTTCATCATTCGGCATTTTATGGACAGTACATCTGTGCTTTTGTGTGTCGTCGTGCTGTTCGTTTACAGTGTTTGAGACAGTGTTTTCTTAACCAGCGAATCATCTTGTCCATGACGTCTCAAAAGGCTGAATTCCTTGTTCTTCTATCAGCAGTGCCCCAAGCCTGCTCCTGGAGATCTTGCAGCAGCAGTAGTGATTGAGCAAAGCTGGCTCTAATGTGCAGATACTCCTGAAGAGCCCGATTAGGTGGATCAAGCGGGTTAAGACTAGAATTAAACTGTTTCGGAAGGCAGATCACCAGGAGTTTATCTGGCATCCTTCTTCTTTATATATTGTGTTCTTAATGCTGTCGTCTGGATTCCAGTTGTGACACAAGATGTTGATTTTATAATAACATTATCTGTAAAGGCTGTTTCTGTCATATGATATTGAAGATATGTTTACAGTACGTCTTGTCACTTTAGGTCTGTAAACTAGATTAAGAAATTAGTAAATAAATCAACCTTCACTAAGCCATCACAAACTGTACCTACGGAGGCAACAAAGCACTGTATTACAGAGTAGTTGGATAATAAAACATGCTCTTCTTCAGGAATACACTGTTATATTTAAAGAGACAATTTTAACAGAACCTTAGAGAATTGCCTTGGCTCTGCTTTACATTACTAGCCTCTAATACCTTTGCTAGGGTGATGTACAAAATGTAAGCACACTGACACTTGTGTATCAGCATACCTCTTTCTTACCTACTACTTTAATATTGTGTGTCCTTTTCTTTCGGCAGGTGCAATGTATGTATGTAACAAGTATGCACTCTTTCACAGCCTTCTCTGTATGTCCATGTTATTTTATCTTGTTTAGTTCTGAGTCTTTGGGTATTAGAGACTATTAATTGAAAGTAGCCGTGCCTGTCCATTGTCTACAAAGGTTGGAACTTCAGTACAGGACTGTGCTATATTTAGAGACCACCCTTCACTTATTTAATTTCCAGTCAAATCTGCCATTAATTGCAAGTTATTCATTTTTCAGTTCTTCCATTTTTTTGGGAGATCTGTTTTGAAAGAAATCTGCATTTTTCCAAAGTTCAGTCTTAGAAGTTGGTTGCAATTTCTGCTTCTCACAATCCAGATAATCCCAAACACATTCAGTGATGCTGAGGTCTGGGCTCTGGGGTGGTCAGTCCATTGTTCTGAGAACACCAGTAGCTTCTTTGTTTGATTTCTTCTTTTTCGTCTACTTCCTTTTCTCGGTAAGGGCATCTTGACAGCTACACATCGTTTCAGACCCCCAGTGTTGAGATGTCTTCACACAGTGGAAGGATGGACAGAATTCCTTCAGATCTGAAGCAAGAGTGGAGCTTGATTTTCTCCTCTCTCTCAAAGATGAAAGCTTTGATGATGGCAGTTTTGGTGGTCTACCAGGTTTTGCACAGTTGTTTGGAGTCCCACTTTCTCAAGATCTGTTAATCATTTTTTGAAATAGTTTTGGAAAATCCTGTCTTTTGACTTTCTTCTTGCTTATGCAAGTGTATTATCTTACATCTAATAGTCTAAGAAATATCCGTCTCCTGAAACATGAATAACTTGTACTTAATAGCTCTTTTGACTGGAAATGAAATAAATGAAGGGTAGTCTCTGACTTTGGCACAGTACTGTGTGTTTAGTAGATTCCAAACACACTGACCGCATTTAGATCAGTTTGACAAAAGCCTTTGCCTTTAGTTGTGGGAAAGAGAGAAGAAAAAAGAAAGAAATATATCCACTTACTGGAACTCTCATCAATACAAAGTGAATGTTATGAGGGTTGTAGTAGCCTCATAGTACAGACATGGCCTATGTCTCAGTAAGCATATTACGAGTGCAATATCTAGTAGATGCTGCATAATGTTGGTCCTGTATTAGAGCTAGAGAGGTCTTGCTGTAATAAGTCTGTATGCTAGATTGTCTGCAGAGGGAGAGTTTGGTAACCGCTTATGCCAGACCTGTAGAGGTTTTAATGTAGACAAATTATTAGAATGACAAATTTTGAAAATGAATAAAAAGGTGACAGCTTCATTTTTGCAGTCAGCTTGCTTTTATGGTTTATGTTTGTATGGGTAAAAAATCTTAATACTTGGCTTGTGTATCCATATAATATCACAACTGTACTGCATAATACAGGAAAATGAATCCTAAGTGACCTAACCAGGCTCCACCCACAAAAGCATTACTTCAATTCATTCACAGCAACTGCTTTACAAAATGATGACACAAAGAAATAAACTACCCTAACAATCTACAACCTATCTTGACAGTGTGACCTATCACATGCATGCAAAATTATCATTAGAAAGTCAAGTATATAGAGAAAAACTGCAGTGCTTCAATTTCTCATTAGTTTAAATAGGTTTTTTTTGTACATATTAAATTAAGCCAATTATAAAAGTAGCTATGAAGGAAAGCGTATGTGGGCAGAACATGGATAAGGCAAGTTATTCTCAATTGAATTCCAAGTTCAAGGTCACCTCCAGTCACATCCAAACCAGCGGAACACTCAAAAGGGCATTTGGACTGGTCTTGGAGTGCTATTCCCAGTTCCCATCTTTCTGCAGTACAACACTTGACATTTAGGCTGGCACAAGAGTCATCAAATACCAGCCACTATTGATAATTACAGATACTGCATTTTGGTGAATAAAAATGGCAATGCAACTGCATTATTATTATAACTTAATGGCCCTTGTGTAGTTTAAAATAATTAAATATTGTAAAGAGCTCAACTAAACATTACAGGAGCATAAACTAGTACAACACTCATGAATAGATAAGTGAGGTATAACCTTAACATACATGTACAGTCATATGCAAAAGCTTGAACACCCCATTCAAATTACAAGTTTTGTTGATTTTCTAAGTGAAAATAAGTGAACACATCTACAGGGAACAAATTTAAATATGACATTTTTCTGCAAATTTTAGTACTAGTCTATTTATTTACTAAGGTTAATGTATAAAAAAAATAAAATACAAAATGCACTATACTTTTTGTACAGGCCACATTTTATTTATCCCCCCAGCATGTTAAATTCAGCAAATAGACTATAATTGTGCAGAAATGTGTTCTCTGTACATGATTTTTGTAAACGAAACACATGATGAGGGGCACCCAAACATTTGCATACGACTGTACTTGGTGTCGTCCATAAATCAATACGCATTGCTAATTCACATAGGCATCAATTCTGATAACCCAAAATTAAATATTTATGCAGTTTAATTATATATACTGTAAACAAATGATTACAGAACACATCGTGTGCCACACTCTGATGTCATAACCATGTTTATATTCTAATTGTTCAGGCCTGGTGACCACATGAGCCTGAACAAAGTGATGATGCATCGACATCTAGTGGTGAGAGGGGATGACTGCATCTTACAACAGTATGACAATGGAGAAAGGTATTCATTCAAGTGTATGGGATATTTATTTTATATTTCAACATCTGACATTGTTTAGCAGCATAAGGTAGGACTTGAGGTATTTCTATACTCACACACAGGAATTCAATTCATCCATTCACATACATAAATTCAATGTACAAAATTCTCTCTCACACACACCCACACACACAAAAACATACACACTTACATCCTCCTGGGGTGAATTGCAAACGCTTTGAACGTCCTGTGCATAAAGTTTGTGGCAAAACATGGCAGTAGGCTTTTAACTCCTGGTGGGTTTTAAGGCAGACTGCCCTCAGTGATGAAGCTTTGGCTGTTGGGAGGAGACAAAAGGTACCCAGTAAGAAAACATTTTATTACTTAAAGGGATGGTTTGAGCAAATTTACACAATTTACCCCTTACTCTAAATGCCAAGATATATTTGGCTATCCGAGGTTTACTTTAGTTTTGCACTGGAGGTACAAGGCTAATGTAGTGAGCAAGTAAAGGTGTATAACTGGCACAATGCATGGAAAACACTGTGCCATGTATACAGTACAGTGTCAGAAACAGCATAATAAGTTTGGACAATGTTTTCCCATAAGCTAATATAATTACCAACTGGTCTAGCTTCTAAAATAACCTCGCAATTTATTATCTTCATAAAGATTAAAAGCCTTTACAGTTCTGCACTACCTATATACTTTGCATTAACATGTTACACTGTTAACATCCAATGTTTCTGCATGTTTGTTTAGTAAGAAACAAAAACATTGCCGAACTGGTGTGCTGACACTCTGCCTCTGGACAAATTCATTGATTTCCTCCATTTCATTCCCTCTTTCATTTCCTCCAAGAATCCGGCCTGACTCGATGTTTAGGTCTCAAAGGCAAAATCATACTGATAAAGATATGATGACAACAGAAGACAATTCAGAGACATCCTCTGAAGCCGTTTTGACTTAAAAGTTCTCTTAAAATACTCTTTCAAAGCTGCACCATCATTGGAAGCACGAACGATTTTAGAAAATGTTTTTCTGCATGTTGCGTGCAATTACACATTTCCACCAGAGAAGTCTTAAAACCCCCAAAACTTTCATAGTGTAGCTTCAAATTATCTCAATATTCTATGATATAAGCTATCGGCCCAAGGCTAACACACAAGCCAGTCTATTTGAGATTACTCACGGTCGACTGAGGAGTGTGTGAAACATTTATGCATGTACAATGACATAAGCTACCATTACTTGTTAGCTACATTATCCTTGTAGTGCAACCTTGGCCATTCTTCTTATTTTAATTGTAGTTAACAAGCTGCACCCTAAATCTCTAATGGGGAAAAAGACAGTTTAGTAAGGAGCCCACCTTCTGTGCATCCAGTTTCTTCTCCATACTGAGTGAGACTGGCCTTGTCTTGCTGTCTCTCCTCCAGGAGAACAGGCTGGAAGGGGAGTGGGAGGAGGACAGGCTGTTGGGTTTGGGGTGGCGTGAGGGAGGCTCGGGGGAAGAGGCACCGCTGGTCTTGCGTTTCCTGCTGGGACCTTTGTGATCGTGGCCAAGAGCCTTCCGGTGCAGCCCTGAGGCACCTCCACCATCATTAGAGGAGGATTCTGGGGGAGAGGGTGGAGACATGTGGGAAGGGATAGGGGTGGGGCTTTGCTTGGCCAAGCCCTGCATCTCAGAAACGTGGAGCTGTGGCTGTGGCTTACTGCCTGGCGAAAAGACGCCATTGATTGGTCCATGAGAAGGGGAGAGGGATGGTCTGGCTGAGGAAGGTTGTCGATCTTTCGGGCCGGAGAAGCTCCTGCTCTGGCCCTTTGAGTCTTCTTCCTGCGGGGGAGACTTCTTGCGCTTTCTGGCCGTGGGGCTGTCCTGCAGCTGCCCAAGCCTGGCCTGCACAGTTTGCTTGCTGGGGCGGCCCACAGGGTTCCGAGGTCGGCCGGGGCCAGAGGCTTCGGGGGCTTTGGTCAGGGTTTTGGAAGGGGGCGTTCGGTTGGATGCCCTAGGCTCTGATTGTCCTGAGGTGCTGGTGTCCCCAAGGGGACGTCTGGGGACAGAGGAGGTGCTAGTCCTAAGAGAGGAGGCACTCGGGGCAGGGACTCTGCTAGGTGGGCTGCGGACAGCATTGTGGGATTGAGAAGCAGATGTGAAGGCTAATGGAGAGTGATGAGAGCGCAGCTCGGACACCTGAGGGATTTTCCTATGGAGATCAGAAATGCTTTAGGAAAACCATGTAAACTCTCAAAAATATTACTTTAAAAAAATTATTTACAGCATTTCCCCTTTGCTTGTTTAGCTGATCAACTACATTTGGATTCAGGAGAAAATTTAAAAATAAATCACTTTTTGACAAACTATTACTTTATTAACAGTGTTAGTATCTATAGTCATATTCAAAATTATGGGCACCCCTTGCCAAATTACATTTTTAAAGTAAAAATAAGTATATATCTTCTACAGATAACACACTTTTTAATACATAATTTCTGATTATTTGCTGAATGTAACATATTGTGGAGGAAAAAAAACAAAAATGTGGTCTGAGCAAATGTTCTAGCACATTTCATATTTTATGTTTTACTCCCCAATATGTTAAATTCAGCAAATAAATACAAATTGTGCACTAATATTTTAAGAAAAATGCCACCTTTAAGTTGTAGAGGATGTGTTAGCTGTTTTTCACTTAGAAAATCAACAAAACTTGTGCGGGGCTGTTCAAATTTTTGCATAATACTGCATACACTTTTTTGGTACTAACAAACCTCTAATCCCTTAGTGTGACAAATTCTTTAGTGCAGCAAAGTCAGCCACTCTCAATCGTACTTCTTTTACTAATTTCCACAGACACAGTCTACGTCTTGGAGCTTCAAACAGCATGCTAGCCATTTGGTGCAGCTGGCTGACTCACTTCCACAGGTGGGCGCTGAGATGGTGCTCCACCATGGCACTGAGCGCAGAGCGCAGGTGGAAGAGCCTGCGGTCAAACGCCAACACGCTACATCCCAGCACACGCGCGCCAAAAGTACACAGCTGCAGAGAGAAAGCAGGAGAGAATTTTAAATAATAAAGACTAATATTTTTTATATTGTTTGGGATCAGTGCATGCAGTGGTGCAATACTGCTAATGGTAGAGCACAGCAGCTGAGCTGTCACAACCATTAACTGACAATTCATGTCTTTTTGTATTCAAGGTTCCAATTTTCAGGGTTTGTAAAGATTAAGTAAAATATAAAAATAGCTTAAAGTGACCAGCTCACCCCCAAAGGTTTGGGGTGGCAGGTGCTGGTGGGTAGATCCGTGGATTCTTCCTGGTTTTCACCATCGCTTTCCTCACTGGAGAGAGAGGCTGAATGAGGTGGAGGGCACTGGGCTGGTATGCCTTCTCCCTCCTCAGAGCACAGCCCTCGCTCCTCCACCTCCACACCACTCTCTGATGGAGTCCTGGACCTACCACACATGCACAACCATTTACATATGTTCATCATTAATGACCTGAATTTAACTCATGCACACCTTTAATCTTGTGTATATATATTCATGTAACAGCACTGCTCCAAACCTGAGAGAAACATAGCTGGCTATCTGGCGCCTGCAGGGCTGGGGCACTGGATCTCCTGTGGGGGCCTGAGGACAAGGAGAACTTTCTTCAGGCACATCTCTAATCACAGGAGGAGCCCGCTCCCGAGCTTTAGAGCTCATTTTCAGTTCCAAAACCAGTTGATCAAAGCTCTTACTCCTCCCCACCACCTGCCTGCGCTGGTGGATAGAGTGAATCTAAGGAACAAGAGAGCACATGCACAAGATATTAGGTCTTCAAACAGTTAATGGTTAACTTCTTGAAGGATGAAGCAATATGACCTGACATGACACTATATATGTGTATGTGTGTGTGTGTGTGTGTGTGTATATATATATATATATATTATATATATATATATATTTATATGAAGTTAATATAGTTTGGAAGTTAATGCCATGCTTTGAGGTGGCAACATGAAGCTACATCATACTGTGATTCTTATAGTGTAGAATAAAAAAAATAGATTCCAGGGAATGTAACAGAAGTGTGTATGGAACATCACATATATACACACAATGTGTTCAAAAACATCCAGACTCCACTTTTCTCTAGCAGGTTCAGCTACATTGCTGTCAGAGGTGTTCAGCTGCACACAGCAATGAGATGTGGAGCAGTGGAACTGTGTTCTCTGGAGTGATGGAGCTCCATCCAATACCACTTGGGATGACTTGAAGTGGCATTTGTGATCCACAACTAATCATCTAACATCAGTATCTGACCTCACTGACCCCTCAATGCTCTTATGTCTAAATGCAATCAATTCCTTACAGCAATGTTCCAACATCTAAGGTAGAGCCTTTCCAGAACAGTAGAGGCTATTACTCCTCTATTAAAACCTGGGATGCATCGATACCGATACCGGTACTGGGTACTGAGCCGACACCTTGCTCATTTACTCATATTCATACTAATAAAAATTCAAAGATACCGACATTCTGATACCTGCTGATGACATAAGCCAAGTGTACACCGCTGCGCTAATGAACAAAGACTCTGACAGGCTGACAGTGAAAGAGGATCTGCTCACACAAAGAAGTGTTACTGACACCATGCAGGTCGGACACAAAGTCACTGGTCACTTTAAACATTCCGCCTATATCTACCAAGTCTAGAAAAAAAGAGGCAAAAGAGATGACATTTCCTACCAAAGTCCATATATGCTGACTTTACTCTGACTGAGTAGAATGACGAGGTATAAATGTTAATGCGGTGATTTTTTTGTAAAACAGGCTGTAGAGAGACTCTGGTGTCCTACCATGTATATATACAGCTGGCTTTTAGCACAGTATTAGCAGTGCTGCTTAGTTTCTCTTTGCTCATTACTCGGCGCGCAGCAATTACTTTGAATGAAACAGCTTTATCTGAAATTGTTAATAGACAGAGCTGTCTGAAGAGGCTGTGTTTCACGCAGCATGACGGAGCATTTTCGTACAGTGTGAGTATATAAATCACAGGCTCTGTCTGTACATGATGGTCTGTTCACACCGAATGTGTGAGTCACCAGAGAACAGGATTTCTAAAATCACACAGGGTATGTCTGGATTTAGAGGACATTCAACTGCAGCTCAACCAGCCAAACAAACTACTCCAGACATAAAACTCCACAAGTGAACTCTTCGGATGAGATTCCTGCTGTGGCTGTGTTACAGATCCTGTTGTTGAAAGAGACAGATCGGGGTTCAAACCTATGAAACATATTTTACTTACAGCTGTACTGAAGCACTCTTATGACATGGAACAAAACCCACTCTTTCCCACTGCAGTGCAGCTCAATCAAAGGTAAAGAATATAACACACACACACACACACACACACATCATCTAAACCGCTTTCCCTCTGGGTCACGGTGGGGTGCTGGAGTCTATCCCAGCTGTCATTGGGCGGAAGGCTAAAGAATATAACATAGCTAGCTAATTCACATCATTTAAAATAAGCTAGTTTTTAATGATGTAACTGTTAAGGTACATTACACTCATTTACACTAACTACTTAATCTAAGTAGGTTACTCATGTCTAGAAAAAATGGTATTGGTGCATCCTTAATTAAAATCCTTAATTTCAAAAGAAATGGTTGATCAGCAGGTAAATTACTACTGATGTTGCAGTTTAGTCCTAGACTAAACTTAGTGCATGTCCATGAAACTGGCCATAGTGGATAAGTAACTTTTATGTGAATACCTCTCTATTATGTATGCTCAATTTGTACTTACATTACATGTAAGCAGCCTAGTGCAGAGTTTTTTCCTTTCAGGATCAAGAACTCCACAGTGCTTATCCAAGTCGCATTCCTTCTCTGGAAAAATAAAAACATAAATTAAATAGATAGTTATGTCTAATCTTATAAATGCAGCTTTACAGCTGTTTTTGTTTAAACAATTATGTTAGCCAGCTATAGCCATTTCCCTAAAAATATAAAAGAAAACAGTCATACTGGGAACTTTTTTGTAAGTTCTGCTGTACGTCCTGGGTCCAGGCAGGGGCTTGTGCACGTCCGTTCCCTTCTGCAGTGGCTTCTCTGAAGGAAGGGGCTTTTTGGGTGGCGTAGACCCCGGATGCCATGGTAGGTCTCGAGGAGTTGGTGTGCACAAATACGGAGGTGACGAAGGGCTCCCATGGGAGAACTTATCAAGCTGCAAAATACTGCAAAATACAAAGAGATAAAGGAAAGTTTACAAGAAAAGCTTTGCATTTAGGACACGTTTAATGGTACAGACAAAGAAATAAGTGCTACAGTTGTATGCAGGTGTGGCCGACTTTGCTGTGACTCCCTACTGGAGCAGCTCTCAAACTGCAGGGGACGCAGTGGGGTGCTAAGGAAGGTGCAGAAAAATCTCAGAGGTTTAGCAGGTCTTAATTTTGCCAGTTTATTAAACAGCCATATCTAAAAACATAGTACTTTGTTTAACCCCTTAAATGGCAAGAGCCTGCCTGGAATTTTAAGGGGTTAAAAATGATGTTAACGTTACTAAACCTTATTACAATTAAATACATGCCAACCAATCACTTTTCACTGCCATACTTTGCCCACTAAACCTCTGTAATGTCACAGAACAGGGCCACGTTTCTAGTATGTGCAGATCAGCGATAGCTGCGGAGAAGGCTAAAAAAGAATAAAAGGTTCGGGTAAAACATGGTCCTCATTAATGAAATGAAAGCAATGACTGGGGCAGTGGGTGGGCAACGGGGAGCACAGTGGCACTTACTATCCACAAAAGGAGCCTTAGACTAACAACTTTCAGAACTGCTTCCCAACAGTATGTTTAATTAAACTAATTAATACCTGACACTCTAGATTTAGTACATTTACACAAGTAAAAGTATCTTAAACATTCTGTGATCAGTCCTATCTTACCACATCTATCATCACTGATACATTCAGAGGCTGTGTGTATGCCCATACTGGGCAAAGTAAATGGCAGTTTGACAAAAACTAAACAATTAAGAACTATAAATTTGTGGCTTTGTTATATTATGTCGTTTACACATCAAAATAAATGAGACAACAGCACTGAGAAATCATGTTCCTAAAGTAGAACAGTAGATAAAATGGCAGAAATAGCTACTTTTTGAATTAAAGGCTTAATCTCTCCCCACCTGGTTCCATCCTTCTGGGCTTTTGGAGATTTGTGGATGGGAGGATGCAGTGGTGGAATTCGAGGGGGTCCAGCCCCTTGCTGCTTTCCCTCCCTGCTGTCATGAAGACCACTGTGCTGGGTGGGTGGTCGTCCCTGTTGTGGCCAGTGTGGCGGAGGAGATGAAAGGGAAGAGTGAGGGCCACAGAGCTTGCTGAGGGGACCATGGCGTCGCTCACAGTGCTTCTCAAAAGCTTGCGGCTTCACCACTTGCCCACAGTGGCTGCACACCACCAAATAGAATTCATCCTGCGCTGGGCAGTGTCCATATATGCACATGTCTGTGAACAGGGAAGCGTATTTTAGTATGTAGGTGGCTGAATGTTTATAGCAATTCAAAGAAAGCTGCCATCTTTGACAGGAGACACCGCCTATGTCAGTCATAAAAATGTTGTTGACTTAAAATCGGTTAAGTGAGACAGTGACAGTCACTCACCCTCTTTTCTAAGAGTCATGGTTTCCAACCTTTTTTTCACATTCTTGCTGCACTCTTCCCCAGAGGTCCCTGACAGGAGCAATCAAGGAACATCGGATGTGAAGTTACAGAGAAGACACAGCAAACGATCAGAAGGCAAAAGTCACTGTGGCACAATTTGTTTCTTAATTTAAAATGCTGCTGTCATTAACCTCAGCCTACGACGGGTGGATTTAACTTATTTTATTTGACCCACATTAACCATAGTGCCCGCTTGGTAACAGAGGCAGTGCTGGCCGAGTTGGTTGATCAGTGTTTTCTTTCCCACCAGAATAAGTGGCCTAGTTATTCTGACACATAATCTCCCCAACAATACCGCGTGTAATGTGGATTTATTTGAAGTAGCGAGCCGTAAAGATGTTGTTGTACAGGGGGGCATCAGTCTGGACATCATTTCAGCAGTCAAATACGGTGAGACACATGCTAATAGTATCAAATGTAGCATCCAAGTCAATATGCCTTTGGTTTTGTCCCTGGAAATGTAACATGAAGGCGCAACTCTGGTTTTACCGAGACATCCCAGCTAGCCTTTGGGAGATGTTCCACTATTGACACACAGGTTTGAGGCCAAAATTTAAGGCAACCCTGAGCCAAAAGAACGGCCTGTCAACAGGGCAGTGAGTAAGGCTGAATAAGGTGTGTATACTGTGGAACTGAGCTCAGTGGGTTATTTGCCATGTTAGTTTGCTGGCCTGAGCTCCACCTTCACTTCCCGTTGTCTTCAATTCATTTTAGCTTGCTAAGCTAGCTGCCATAGCCCACCTAAGCTCGGTTAGCATGTTAGCTAGCTTGCCAACTGGACCGCGTCCTCAAGCCTTTAGACGTAAAATATTAAGGCTCATACACACACGGCAACCACAGCCGCGCCCACCTCCCTGTCCCTACACACACACATATTTTGACGAGCTGTCGTGTTTTTGTCAGTGGGCTAACTGAGCGCTAGGACCTGGGAGGTTTGCCGAAGTATTGCGCCGGCCGCGAACCCGAGCCGCGCTAGGACCCGGCGGGTCTATTGTTTGGCTCGGGGTGAATGGGTCTTGTCCGTTTTAAAGAAATGATGTTACTGTGGCCGTTAGACGCGCTGTCAGACGAGATAGGGTTCAGGGCGAAGCCATCACTCACCCTCCGGTGTGGAAACGTCGGCCTTATCTACCCAGGTGTTCCAGCTCTGCCCTACAAATTCATCAAGGATAGAAATCCGCCGATCTAGGGCAGCCATTACTGTCCAGCGCGCGCGCACTCCGCCACCATCGCTACAGGAGCGCAGCTGCGACGTCACTGCGCGCGTTCACGATCCCTGGATTTCATTTGTGCTCAGGCTTCAGTCTGCGGAGTTCTTCTGCTTCAGACCGTAGAAACAGCTCTCCCAGCAACAGGGCTGTCACCAAACCTGTATTAAACTAAACAATTACACCACCTGCTCCAGGCAGCAGCACCAGTCCAGAATTAAGAGCTAGAGGTGGGCGATACCACTAATTTTCTTTTGATCCGACAACAAGTAATACAAAGACCAGCATACACATGCCCGGATCTACCATATGGGTGGCCTGGGTGACTGCCCAGGGGCACCCAATACAAAGGGGCACCAAAAAGTTGCTTCAAAAAAGTGCAGGTTTAAAATTATTTCAGTCTGTTATCACTTTTTGAAACAATTAACTTTAAATCATTTCATACACCACAACAGTCAGCCTGATAAACTAACCATACATATCCAAAAATGATCATCATTGTGGGAATTCGGCAGACAGTGGCATCTATGAGGGAAAAACTTAGTCAGGATCATTTAGGCATCTTATTTTGGCATTTCATAGTGATATCTGACTGATCTTGTTTATGTCTTAGAGGAGGAGTTAACTCTGGTACAGGTGAGATTTTTTGTGAAGAATCAGTAGAATGAGTTTTCACTAAAACCTAAGGCCTTTTCAGAAAACTCATGGGGTATTACGGGGGCCCCGGAGTACCACAGGATTTTAATCAGGTGCTGAACATGCCAACACTGGTACTTTTAAAAGTTGTCTTGTACACATATAAATGGGAATTCTATGCGATTTATACAGTGAACTCCAGTAAATATGTGTATCTCAAAAAAATACATTTGAAAGCCTTTGTGTTAATAAACTACCACATAAACTGAGAGGGCGGAAGAAAAAGTAGTTCCTATCCTACAGTTTACAATTTTTTAATTTTTTTAACATTGAAGTCATTATATTTAGTAAAACATTAAGTTCACTGCTTAAAGAAAAAACTACCATCAGTATATTCATGTGAGGGTCGATTCTCAGAAAGGTCAGAATTGAGTATCAGTCGGCTTACCCGTAAGAACTGGTCCAGTTAAACGTAAACCTTCCATGCAGAAGCAGCACAATGTCTCATTTCAAATGAAGTTTACATGCTTTGCAAACTAAACTGTTAAAGGAAGAGTTCATCTTTTTTCCACAAAGTAACACTATTACAGTGTTCAGAGTTTTGATCCATTTTGATATTGTTTGTTTTTGTCAAAGCAGGCAAGATATGGCCAAATAAACCTTACTTAGTCTTACATAATATTTCCATTTTACTGTGAGACCCAATGAAGATGATACACGTGTACTCATGGGCTGACCGATGTAGGTCCCCCAACCTAAGCATGAGTAAAAACTGTCTGAAAACTGCCAAAGGCAGATTAAATAGTTTTGATTTGCTTGAAAACAGTGCAGTGGTTCCCTGCCTTGTTTGAGCCACAATTCACCTCCCTTGACTCACCCATGTCCCAGGCCAGGAATTGATATCAGCGCAGTAACCAAGCACACAGTAGCACATGGCCTTTCTGATCATAAATATGCAAAACAACAACTATTTGCACACTATCTGACAATACGCGGACACTTCGAGTTAACTAATAATCATGTGATGTTCAAACATATAATGGTTTCACTATGGTAGCTGTTTGGCTAAGTGCTGCGGCTCCATGCTGCTTCGAGACTTCTTTGCATCAGTGTGTGCAGCATGTAACCAATCTGAGTTTTAGTTTAAAATGACAGCATGATTATTATAGTAATGATGAATAAGGAAGCCATAGCTGCAATGAACCCAAATTAAGCTCTTTGATTGGAGAAATACATGGTGTGCAGGCCACCTATTGAAACCAAATATTGAATTATTGTCACGAAGTAATTTAAACCTACTGACACAACCAAGTTATTCCACCCCTGCATGTACTCTTATAGCTCACCTTGCATTACTTTACTGCTCTGTGCTCATTTGAATGTGGGTAGTGATGCATTTCTAAATGATATTGCTTTGCATTTATCTCTTAGGCAGCAGAACAGATACTATAGCCTATAGTATCTATAAATAATACAGCCTAAATAATGAATAATATGTAAATAAAGAACTATTTTATGCTGAAGCCTTTGTGCAGTAAATATAATCATTCAAACTGGACCCTGAAACAAATCCTGTTTATATATGGTTCCTTCTTTAAATGGTAGAGTTTCAACTAGCATTTGTGGATGCAGCAACGAACTGTGTTCACAGCGTTTTTCGAAAAGTGTTCCTAAACCCATGCAGTGATTTCTGCTACAGAAGCGTGTCTGTTTTTAATGCAGTGCCACCTGAGGCCTGAAGATGCCCACAGAGATTTCTCTGGATTCTCTAAATCTTTTAATATTATGTACCAGTGATGATGTCATCCAGACGTTCTTTGCTATTTTACGTTGAGAAACGTTTTTCTTGAATTGTTGCGTTATTTGCCCGCGCAGTCTTTCACAGAATGATGAAAGCTGTCGAATGCAAAAGGATATCTGATAGCTAACAATATTATTACAGCCATACATCTATGGAGTCTTCAAATCATCATTACATTGGAGAGAATGGATTACACTTTAGGTTAGTTTTCACCCTATTCATGAATGCACCGCTCATATATACTTCTCTGAATGTTGGTTCTTGCATGCAAACACATAATGAAATTACTTCATTGAACGATTAAGAAAACACTGTTTAATTAAGGCACATTTCAAGGTCAAAATATGTTTTTTTTAAACTTTGTTAATATATAAGACAACAAATGTTGAGGTACATAAAAATAAATTGTTTTAAACGGAACACTGCCAATTATTATTCTAAATAAACTAAAGCATCTGCCCATCACTTTTGCAGAGTTTAACACAGGGGTGCTCAGTCCTGCTCCTGGAGATTTACCACCCTGCAAAGTTTTGCTCCGGCCCAAATCCAGCACGCCTGGTCCAGGTAATGAAGGCGTTCAGTGGCATCTGAATATTAAAGCCAGGTGTGTTGGATCTGAACTCTTCAGGGTGGGAGGTCTCCAGGACTGGGCACTTCTGGTTTAACAAAAGCAAAAGGGAAGGAAAACATTCTTTAGTTTGTTATATATATTTTCAAGGTCTGTGAGCATGAATACCTTAACAGAATTACATTCAGTCACTAAGATAGTGGTGATATTGCTGGAGATGATAGAAGCCACAAAATTTTACCATAGTGGTCCAAGTATAAAACTACATAGAAAACATACAGCATACTGAAAAACTGAAATGTAACCTCAAATTCAAGTCTACAAAAACAGGAGAAAATGTATATAACAAAACATATCATATTTCACAAAATACTTCTGGAGCAAAACATGTAATACTATCAGTAAAACTGATGTCAATACATTCATATTCATGCAGAAATGTACACAGTTTCTATAACCAGCTTAGGAAAAACACCTGTGTAAACAAAAATGTACCTAAACACTACCAGTAACATCTTAACCATTTCTTTCCTACAAAAACATATTGTTTCCTGGCAAGGTTTCAAGCTGTGGCCTTCAGAATTAGTATTCAGAATTACATTCAGACATGCGTATTTTAATTTGTGAGGCACTTACACAGTTTCTATAGTTGATACCAAAAATGTAAATAAAGCATTGTAACATTACCCTGCATCTGAATGGCTTGTGCTTTGTATTGTTCTTGTCCATCTGAAACAGCTCAGTCTTGTATATGTCTTGTTTTAACTTAACAAAATGAAATTAACATAACGGTTTAGGTATTTTAGGTACCCGTATAATTCACAGCAAAGTAATTTAGTGCCAGTACTGCTCTAATTTCAACCACATTAAAAGTTCCAGACTGAAACCATTGCTGTGTACCGTTTCAAAACTGCAGCAATCGTTGCTACACGCTCGCATTATGATGGTTTGATTCTTCTTTCTGATGCAGATTTTTTTTATTTCTGCCTCTATTGATAAATTTATTTTACGTCTTGGTCTCTGTTATGGGAGAGTCTGGAAACCTTCTTCAACACTGACTTTAGTCTGTTTTACATTTATAATGTAATCTATTCACCAAAGATTCTAAATCCTTAATATTATTCTCCTGTGGTGATAACACTGTAAAGTTTTATGGTCATTTGGCTCCACAAATGTAAGTACCTACATGGCTTGTCCTTCCTCAGTGCTACAAAGGTGCTGGTGAGCCGTCCTATCAGAGGAGCAAACTGACTTTTTTTTAAAGAACACTGGTTATTTTTTAAAGATATGCAAACACATTTAAACATAATATATTCATCCATGCTTCCTAAAGTGTGAACAAGCATGGAAACAGCATTTGACAAAAAAAAGTAGAGCTATCTTTTAGCTGGAATTAAATTTGCCCTCAAAAAAGCAGGATGAGGACAAATTTAACTTCTTAATTCAGCTCCTGTATTTCTTTCCACTGGCTAGGGTTTGAAACAATGATCTATGCTGTCAATATTTTCCAGTGGCACATGGGGCTTGTAAACGCTGTCCAGTATCTCCTTTACTTTTGCTATTGCAACAGAGCTGTCAGCAAAAGTAGTTGGGACTTTCTCTTCTTTTTATGGTATAACCTGCAAAGAAATAACACAGAATAAAATGGCATTACATGGTTATTCATTACTTTTTGTTATGTGCATAACCCTAAACTAAGCCTTCCTTCGTGACCATGCTGCAAAACTCCCATGAATGCGGCAGCACAGCAGCTTTGACCGACAGACCTCTCCTTTCATTTAGAATCATGATACAAATGTCACTCGTTTTCATTTTCTCTTCACATCTTGATTTTACAGCCTAAAATCTGCATTAAAGATTAACACTACAGGTCACAGAAAAAAAAGTCATGCATGTCAGCCTTTCTCACTTTGCTTGCTATTAGTTTCTCCCTCTTGTTATGCTGACAAAAACCTCTACTTTCAAAATTTGGCACCAATTTACAAGTCATTCAAAATTCTACTGTGCATCAACACTGAGTCTGTTGTGTAACAATCACTAATTTCCTCTCTTTCTTATAGATTCTGCATTTACTCTCTGAAAACAGTAAAGGCGTTATCTACTAAGCTAATATTAGCTTAGTTTTATCAGTCTGCCTTCCAAGTACAATTTTTATGACCTATGATGCCACCTTCTCAATTATTTCCAGACATTATTTGATTAAATTAAATTATTAAATTATGTTATTATGCTATTAAATAAGGCATTATGTCTCTTCCCATTTCATGTTTTCCCTGCTGTCATTTTGAATTTAACACCACATCAAAAAAGCAATTACTTCACTGGTCTATAATCATCTTACATCTTTTGAAATCCATTCAATTAGCAAAACAAAATCTGCCTGGGAACAAGAAATGGATGCTGAGATTACAGAGGATTGGTGGGATAAGGTAGCTGATAGATTATGTATGAAAACATGTGCCTGGCTTGGCCTTCAATACAGTTGTACAGTTGTACACTATCCATCTATCCATGTCCCAATCGCCAGAGCTACTGTATATCTAAACCTGGAAAACAGGTGTGATAGATGACACAGCTCACCCTGGAATATCAGCCACATTCTTTTACCGTCCAGAACATCAGTGTCTTGAGTCATTTCTTTGACACTTTGTCTCTGAGGTTCTAGAGAGTGACCCAAGGAACCCAAGGACAATTTTTGGAATTGCCGAAGACCACTGGGGGCTGGCGGTTGAGTCAGGGTATTAATTAAAGGGGAATTCCGAAAACATCTGCATAATTAAATCGTTCAGATATAAAAGTCATTCAGAACGGTTTGATGTGAAATGCTGTTCTAGAGAAACTTACTAAATCAGAATTGTTCACAATGGTTGTTATACGAGTCGGATGTCTGAATAGTTAAATTGTTTGACAATAGTTTTGAGGTGAGGTTTCAGCCTAAAGCATATTTTTAAAAATACACTTATGCATTTTTACGATGGAAAGGTACATGCAGGGTGTTGTAAGGCAAAATAGTGCCCAAAGAATAATACTTGTTTAAGATTTACTACTATTTTATCATCATCAACATTATATATAAAAACTCTTGTAGGTTCACTGGTCACTTTTGGATGCAGCCATTACGACCCCAGGTTCCCATCACCACCACTGCAAAGAAATCCAAGTTGGTAAGTTTATTTAAAATGCATGTCACAATAAACCAATCTGAAGGACTTTACAATTCAAGGAAAGGTAATGCAAAGTGGGTGGGAGGGACCCAAATAAAGAGAAAGAAAGAAAACATTATGAATGAGTTACGATTTTGAAATGAATTTGTCTGTATTATTTTTATCTTATTTTTATTAAGCTGTGCTTATGGACAAGCCGCCCCGGCAAAGAATAGTCTCTTTCAATACTGAAGAAGCTAAAATTGTAGGATCCTCATTCAGCATTGAAACTGTAGTGCAAGAGCGACTTGTTCTTCTGTGGAAATCTGTACATCTAGCTTCTAAGTGATGTAAGGATGTAGTACTTTTCACAAAACTTTAACTTCAATTCTCTGAGGTTCTACTGTCGAGTTCTTTTATCACCTACTTTGAGAACACGCAGGAGTTCCCCAGGGACTAACACTTTCATTCTGTACTGCTATCTGATATTATTCTTCAGTGTACAAGTTCTCCATCTAGATTCAACTGTCTAAATGCAATATCCTTGTGCACACATTTATTTATGTATTTATAATGTGCAATGTTAATTATGGCAAAATTCAATAAACACAGTGCAAAATAGAACTATAACAACACCTGCTTGGTGATTAGACATAAGTTCTTCTTCTGTCAAGGCTGCCTTCCTTCTTGCTGAGTGGCTGAAGGAGCTGACGATTTGTGGAAAGGTGTCTCTTTAAAGATGAACCAGCAGTTTCCCGCCCATAAAATGAGATTGAGGAATCCAGCAATCTGTAAAAAGTGTAAAAGTGCACATAGTGAGAAAAGCAACTGTGTGTATTTATAGTTATAGAATCATTCAATCATTAAAACCATTTATAACATACTGACAGGTGCTTTAATAACACTCATCAGATACCAGAAGTACAAGGTAAATAAAATATTCAGAAGTTTAAGAGACTCTGTATCCACCTATGATGCTGCCCATCAAAGCCATCTTACCACTGAGGAATTGAGGGGGCCAAGGGCAGGAAGTGCCCCCGCTGTGCAGTTATTGTGTTTGTTCTTACAAGCTTCAGCTATGTAGACAAGTAAAGTTGGGCTTGTATTAAGTTTCACATCAGTCAGACCCTTTCCCCAGGCAGAGGAGGACACCAGCCACAGGAACGTGAAGATTCCTGTTATCAGCAGATCCTGTTGAATGATAGTAAGTTCATGTAAATATTGTGGCGAAAAACATCAGTGTGCACACTGTGCTCAAGATCACATGGACCGAAATCACCACAAGTAGCATATGCCATAATGGCATGTGCTATCAAATTATTCCAGTGTTTAGTTGTGTGTTTTGTTGCCGGCACCAACTCTTTTTCCTTTCCAGTCAATTTTCTGGATCCTTCTAGTTCTGCTGGTTCAGGTCTTTTATCAGAAAGCGATCACATGAGCGTAAAGCTAACATGTATCTGCTAGTTCTAGAACCAGGTCTCCTGAAATGCCTTTGCTTTTGCTCCTGGCCTCCTAAGCCCACATTTGCAACTACTCACTAAAACACACTCTTCTGTTTCTTCATTTGCACAAATGTGTGAGGAAATCTAATTAAATCTCAACATCAGTCAGCATCAGTCAGCAGCACAGAACACCAATGTAAAGCTCATTCAGTTCAGTCCTAATTTGAGCTCAATGCTGAAAATTGTGAAAAGGCACACCTAACATTTGCATATTTCATATTTCATATACAGTGACTCCAAAAAGTGGCTGTGCCATATTTAAAAATATATTAAGTTCATTGTCAAACCAAGTAATACTTATTTCAAGTGGACCATCCCAAGACTGTACCATGCTTTCAAAAAGCTTTTCTTTTTTTAAAAAGATTTTTATCATGTAAACAATTTCTTTGCAGAGTTTCCTCATGTTTGCATTCAAAAATTCTTTCTGAGTTCATGATCTTATCAGTGAACACAAGCTCACCAACAGCACTGTAAAAACAGACCCACACACTGACATTCTCATGTTTGTGCTTTACAGCATGGTTTGTCAACCACTGGGTTGCAGATCACAAATGAGCTATGAAGCACCCTCTGGTGGTCCTAGACTAATATTGAGGTGGAGCCAGTGATCCATAGTGGGCCGGTGATAGCATTCTAGCATTAAACTCAGTGAAAAAATAATTTCCTTAATAATAAGAAAGAAATTAAAACGTTTTCAAACGATAAACAATATTAATACAAGCCACGCAACAACAGCACATGAAGCCGCTTCAGCTATTTTGTGCCCCCTGCCTCTAGAAACAATGTACACTGCCCGTACAATTCAACAGTCCACATGCAAGCGAAAAACTTTGTTTCATTTGTCACCATTACATCTGATTTCAAGCTCATGCAGGCTTTCTCCACACAAAGAGTCTACCATCAGATCGATGTTGCGCTTAAAGAGTTTTTCTCTGAAACAAATATCATTTTCTTCAACATTTTATAGTCACTTAAATAACTTCATTAAAGTTTACCAGTGACTAAATGGTGAAAGTGTCCAAACACTTTTTGGGGCCACTGTATTACTTGCTTTCTGGTGGTCCACAGGTTTACTATATAACATGTTAATAGGAAGTACATGACTTACCATAAACAGCTTTAAGATTTCAGAAAATCCCACTTACTGTGCATTTATCATAAATGTTATACACTATATATAACAGAGAATACCATAAAGGTTATGTAATATTATTCTTGAATCTGTATTAATATTATTTAGTATATTAGGTTCTACAGATCTACATTTAGCATCTCAACTGAAGCATATAAACACTGCTCTTCAATGTCTATGTGCTCTTAAAACTGTTATTATTTGCTTTCATTACATTTAATATAATGCTTAAAATGTTACTACAGACTTTGACACATCTGTTACAGCTGTTTTTGTTTGGCTCAGAAAGATTCAGACATTGTTAATTAGGTCTTGCTTTCTTAACATGTTTTTACTGTGTAAAAACAACTACAGACACTACAGCGTTTATATTATACAAGAAGATGCAGAGCTTAGCAAGAAACAAATTTACCAGAAGTTTGTCACCATGACTGTATTTGGTAAAATCAGTGCATCAGAAAAGAACTGTAACTTTTTAGTATGCTATTAGAACGGCGAGAACAATGGCAACCCAAATCTGATTTCAAACATTTGTATAACAGACTAATGCACTCACTATAATAGGTCCGCGGTTAGACTCACGGTACAGGTGCTGGTAACCCAGGTACAGCACAAGAGTAGCGGTGCAGTAGAGGAAGGCCAGGACTCCAACAGCGACAAAGAACTCAGCTGAAGATGAATAGTTTCCAGTCAGCTTGTACTCCACGGTCTCACCTGAGGCATTGACTTTGCAGGCTGGGACGTGGTATGACTGCTCATTGAGCCTGTGTGTGAAACAGGACAACACTTTGTATTTTTCCAAATGATAACACATGGTAGTTCATACTGGTGTGTAGTAATAAATTATGATAATGTTCAATAGAAATGTTTACGATATTTACCTGAAAGGGTACTGGAAGGTGATGTTGATTTCATGGACAGGTTCAGTCTTTTGGCACTGGACATTAAAGCTTGTGGTACCAGAGTAACTGCTGGTCGATGCAAATGCAAATATGGCAAAAACCTGAAGCCACAGTCCATAAAAACAAACACATAAGAGACCTCAGAATGGAAAGCAACTTGCTTAAAATCAAATGACTGATGACATGTTATAATTCTGAGTCACAGTTCAATGAGGTCAACACTTAAAAGCTGTTAAGTGCACAGAGGCCTGAGGTGGATGGAGGCTTGGGGATTCTGCTCAGTTTTAGCTGTCATTAAAAAACACTCCAGGTCAGATACTGAAACCTCATTTACTTTCAAATAAGCGCTCGCTGGTCTCCCTTCCTCACCAAGAACCTCCTCCACACAGGATGTGCTAGTTTGGGCGTTAGCAAACCAAAAACCACTTAAATCAGAAGCCAGTTTGGTGCTGCTGTGATGGCTGTTTTTTTTTTTTTATAATCTTACGTTTTTCAAAATTTAGACATAATTAATTGGTTCAGATGTAAACAAAGTCATTTAGAGTGGTTTGATGTTCTAGAGACACTTACTGAGTCAGACTTGTTCACAGTGGTGGTGATAGGGAAGTCTGAGGAGTTTAATGCCTCTAAAAGCTTCCTCACAAAATGGTTATGAATATGGTGCCTGATGCCTGAGACACTGCTTTACAACAGTTTTATGATAAAGTTTTGGCCTATTTCTGGCCTAAGTTTTGGCTTATTTTGAATCCATTCATGGCAGAGGGGTACATGCAGGGTGTGGTAAGGCAAAATAGTCCCCCCAAGAATTATTTTTTCAGATTTTCTACTATTTTACCATTATAAACATTACATATAAAATCTTACAAGACACAAGTAGGTTCACTAGTGGTTTTGGATAATAAATAAAATGGCTATATTTGTGTTACAGACATCGCGACTTCTGGTTCCTATCACCACCACTGTAAAGAAATCTGAGTCTGTAATTTGCTCTACAATGAACCATTTTACCTTAAACCACTCTGAATGAATTTGTTTACATTGCAACAACAAAATTATGCAAAAACATTTGAAAAATTGGCATTCCCCTTTAATACAAGCTTAGATAGTAGGAAATGTCCTATAACTTATGCCATTTGAAGATAAAATATTCTACCAGATAAATGGGTCAAGTAATTACTATTTCCAACAGGAGAAAAAAATCAATTAACCAGTCTTAAAAAATTGTCAAGTGATACCAATAAAATGTAAAAGGAAAGCAGATGATCTACCATTTGTAACTCGCGTACAGTTACTCATAGGCTGTGTCTAATAGGCTTCCTGAGACCTAGTATGTTCAGTTGCAAAGGCGGATAAAGCACTGCTCATTCGTCTCTACACCTCTGAAGAGCTAAACAATGGTGTTCAGTCCTAAATAACGGAGTAATAAAGCAAATGGTGGCAATGCAGCACACACGGGCTCTGAGCAACGTTAACTAACACAGGCCACAGTTCGCCCACTTCAGCTTAAAGAGCATTTCATTCGACTTGCTCTCGAAATGAAATGTAACAGTGTGCAGCAGCAGGCCTGTGTCTGACATGATGAACACCAGCACTCACCCATTCCAGGACACGAATAAATCCCAGGGGCTCTTTCAGTGGTCTGATATCTAAATTGAAAGCGCTCATCATTTTCTAGAGGAAAAATAAAAGGACAAATTAAATCAGTCGACACCCTCAGTCAAGCAAACTTCGTCCGCAAACCCGGAAAAAGCAACGCTGCGATTTTGGTGTTAGTTTCATGCGTCTCGGCTACATTTCTGCTATGTTCTCCTCGGTGTTTTTACACCCTCCATCAACTCCAACCACAGCTCCACTCCTACCTCGTTTGTCCAGCAGTCTGAAGCGGATAGTGAAGGAATCCTGCTTCTCTGCGCTTCTGACAGTTAGATGTCTGGAAACTTGTCAAACTTTTTTCTCTTTTTTTTTTTCTTCGGGCAAATTAATGTCTACGTGACCCGTGACGTCAGTGTCTTAAAGGGGAACTCCAACATTTTTTCAAATTTTTTCAAATATTTTCAATATATCAAAATATTTCAAAATTTCTACATCGGTGAAATTCCCCTTTAAAGCAGTCTTGCTTTAGTGCAGCATCAGTTGGCTCCTCTCTGGAGGAGGGCTGTCTGTAAGTGAAGGGGTGCAAACAGGACCTTTTAGGGCCTTAGCGTTTATTATTATTATTATATTATTATTATTATATAGATAGATAGATAGATAGATAGATAGATAGATCACTTTATTAATCCCTGAGGGAAATTCTTCTATTGCAGAAGTATAAAGCACAGTAAAGAGCATCACAAGAGCAAAATGAACAGGATCAAAGTATTGTCGTACACTATTTGCAGATATATAAAAAGAAAGTAGAGATAAAATAAAATATACTAAAACAATAAACATTAAGAATAATGTGCAGTACAAAAACACAAAGTAATTGCATGAATACTATGCATGAGACAATGCAGTGGTGCCTGTCCCTCCAGTGAATGAACTACTGACTATGGACTGTAGCAATAAATGTTACCAGTTGTACAGTTTACCTTTAACAATTTGACATTTATGGATGCATAAACAAAGTGACAGTGCAATATGAGATATGATAAATTATTATTGTTATTATTATAATTAATATTGTTATTATTATTCTTGTTCATATTATTATTATTATTATGTTTTTACTAAGAACAATGACTTTTTGCATGTTTTTATCACTGTTGCTTGTCATTGCTGGTCATATTATGCCTCAGGATCGTAGATCTGTGTACCATGCAATAATCTTTGCCCAAGGTAGTGAATAATTACGATCATTATGTTTTTTTTTGTTTGTTTTTTGTTATGTTATTTTATATCATTATTGTCATTATTATGTTGTTTTGCAATAATAATAATAATAATAATAATAATAATAATAAAGAAGAAAAAGAATTATGATCAAACTAAATAAACCAAACGAACAAAACACACTGTCTCAGAGTTTTTTTTATGCAGACTGCAGATGAATCTTAAAGTTTAGCAGTAAGACTTTGAACTTACATAATAGTAAATTAGTAAACTATATATGTAAATGTGCGTGTATAAAGTAAAGTTACCGTTAGGGGGCGCCACCTCTACAGCACAAAACTCATTAGGCTGGTCTGAACTCAGAGTCTATGAGCAACAAATGATTCATCAGTTCAATAACTAAACTAATTGTATTTTATAGCTGCTCAATTTAAAAATAAATCCCATAGTAAATGCATGCCAAATATCATTTAAATCACTGATCATTTTGGGTATTTGTCTCCGCTTTCACTACGTCTTTTGGTAGTAGGCTGTGTGTGTGTGTGTGTGTGTGTGTGTATGTGTGTGTGTGTGTTTTGACCATGCTGGTCAGTACAGGCCTATCTGAGCTGATGTACTGCTGCAGAATGTGAATACGAAAACACAGATCCTTGCAAGTAACAACACAGTAACTGATTGCTATCCTATCTGTGGGAATGAATAACAAGAACTAATCAGGAATCCATGAAAGACTTTACAAAAATGAAAGAAAGCAACAAATAAAGAGACTGAGGGACATTTACATGGCCCTTAGTTAAGAAGTGTCAGCTTTTTCCCCTGTCCTGCAACCTATTAGCAAACAGCTAGAATCTTCTGCTTGATTTACTATGCAGAGTATCCAGCCTGGTGTAGTTTCTAGGATCATCATCTAAAAGCTTCGGAACAACAGTTCGAGTACGACAAGTCGAGATTCTGTCTAGCTGCCGAAGCTCATTATTTAGAGTGGTAGTCACATACAGGGTCTTATTCTGTAGTTATCACATGATTTACAGTCATGAGATATCTCATGCTTCAGAGCCTGCCACCAAATCACATGCACAAGCAAACACACACACACAATCCCAAACAAACAAGCACACAGCCTAATCGTCAGTGGAATCTGGCTACACAGCTGGAGCACAACTGAAAACTGTATAATAAGATTTGTGATAAAGGATATTTGTTCTGTTTTTTTTTCAAATATGAATGCAGAATTCATGAATAAAAGGAAAAGTGTGAGTTTGATAGGTGAATGGATATTAAAAAGTGTGAGTTTGATAGGTGAATGGATATTAACTATAATTGAACAGTGATGGACTAGTTATAATCATCTGGCAAAACTGAGTGTTTCACTTTCTTTTGATCAGAATCACATTGTTTTTCTGTTGCACATCACAACTAATAGAAAACAGCAGTGGACAAGGATTATCATTTATCATTAATTATCATTAATGTAATGTACCATTTTCAGGTTTTCGTACTTTAGACTGTTGGAAAATATATGCTTTTCAAAGGACATCCCCGAAACTGACAGGAAACAGTCAGTAAGTCATAATGTTAGGAGAAAAGCGCAAACAAGTGTGAAACAAATCTTCCTCGTCTTTCTTAACTAAAAGAGTTCGATGAAACTTTTTTACAAGTCATTTTGGTCCATTTATCATGAAATTTACACACAATGTAAAGGGCAATATATATGTGTGTATATATATATACATGTATATGTATATGTATGTGTGTATATATCACTTATTATCCAAATATATACTTGCACTTTGTTTCTCTACATACTTTGTTAGCACAGTGTAGTGTTAGCACCACAAAGCAGGTATTATTTGGGTGGTGGATCATTCTTAGCACTGCAGTAACATTGATGTGGTGGTGGCGTGTTAATATTTATTGTTCTGGTATGAGTGGATCAGACACAGTAAACACCAGACACAGTAAACACCATGAGACACAATACAACCAAATGACATATTTTTGGTAGAGAGCCCCACACAAACATCTTAAGTAGATCTCAGGGAAAAATCAAATATAAGTAAAACGTAGAATACGGGCCCTTTAATGTGCTCCCGAATATAACTCCCTTGCAGAAAACACATATTAGCACAAATGACCGATGTATTATTGCAAATTAAATTAGGTTGGAATTAGATTTAAACAATGAAATACACTGTTTTACATTCATGTTGTTTTCTTCTATGTGTGTATCTTTAAGTTAGATTTAAACAATAAAAATGTGAATACACTGTTTTACATTTGTTTTCTTCTGTTTATGTATCTTCATTCTCTGTCGCTGTGCGAGGAGCAGCACACAGAGAGGACTGGAGGACCGCTCAGTAGGAGTACACTCATTGTGTAGTTTTTGTATAGAAACACTCTGGATCGGATTTCTCGTTTGTGAAATCTATGTTAGGATATATTTATAAAATCTTGATATGCTAGGAAATCCCTCACGTTCCTGGCTAGTGAGAAATCTCTGATTTTGGCAGCAAGTGACGTGCTGCTAACCTGAAGGAGACATCACAACCAAGCACGAGCTCATATTAACCTTTGATGTACAGAGAGCAGCCAATCAGAGCGTTCCCTACACCGCTCTAGCCAATCAGAGCGCAGCCTCTGCAAGGTGCATACTTTGCATCGTTAAACATTTTCATTAGCTTAACTAGCTTAAGGTGGATTTTGAGGTCATATTCATCGCTCTTTGCGATATTCGCGTGTGAATGTCCTTTACTATAGCAGTTTTACCTCCTTGCTGGCTGTAGTCTGGAAAGTAGGTCATATTAGCGCGAAGGGCGTCGTGTGAGAGCCTGTAACCCCCCCCGGGCGGCCGAGCAGAGATGAGTTAGCGATGAGAAGCCGTAGCTCTGCTGCACAGCCACTTTGTTTTTGTTGACGTCGTCAGCGGCAGCGGCAGCGGCAGCGGTGGAAGGAGTCGACACGGATGCACGTTTAACAAATTTGATACTCCGAGTAAACGACAACAATGAGGCAACTGCCGCACTTTATTTTAGTTCTTCTGTTTCCCGTGGCTTTGAGTTTAGATTTTATAGAGCCTAGGGCATCACGTAACGCCCGGTCGCTTCACACGACTGTCTTATCGGCGAAAAGTCACATCGAACCCGCAGCGGATTTTCAGCACAGCGTTAAAAAGAGAAGCACAGACCAAGGAGGAGACACCTGTAAAGCTCTGCAGGGATATGACTCCAAATTATCCAGCAACACTCACAGCGTAAGTTCGCCACTTCGTCTGAACCGTTTTGTATGAACCTGACACTCAGGCTCTTTACAGTAGTGCAGTAGCTCGGAGAATACAGAAGCGGCGGGTCGGCCGTGTTTGCATGGCGCTACTGTGTAATGAAAATGCTCGAGTGAATGTGCGCCAGAAGCCCTTTTAGTGGTCTGACTCCGAGACTGGATTCAGCAGTTTGTCTCGTTGTTTGGGCCGCCTAATTACTGTCCTCCATAAATGTATTTTGTTTTTCTTTTTACGTTTCTCCACTGAAAGATGTTTTTTAAATACTTGCCACTTGAATTTAATCACCCTTAAGCTGAAGCTGGTAACATCTGGTTAATGGTTATGAGGTTGTAAATAGAAAGGTAACATTCAGATGATTTTATGGCAAACTGGGCTTGTAGCAGTGCCAATAGGTCTATAGTATAACCATTGTGAGCCATGCAGGACTATTTCAGACGTTTTTTTTTAAATTAGTGGTTAAAAAAGCCTAAAAACAGAGCATTTGAAGGTGTGCGTTTGTTTCTTTTTGCATCATCATTTCATTGCGGAAGCATGAACTGCACATTAAGGTAAAGTCTGGCAATGCAACTTCTTTCAGTTCATGTGACTCGCCCTCTTCTCGCCCGGCCTGTACTGCCGGTTTCAAAACCTGCTCTTCCATCTCTGAGGGTCCAGTCTGACCCAGATTATGCATTCATGAGACGCAGTGGTTACAATTCCCCAGCACTGTCGCCGTTTAAGTCCAGTAGGACCTGTTTCTTGTTTAGAGAGTCCACTGTATGGGTCCTAAGAGCAGCCCAGACAGCAGCCACTGATGCTCTAATGCTTGTTGTGTAATGTTTGATCAAATTGAGACTGCTGGGGAAACTTGATGGGATTTGAGGATTCAGGTCCTGACTTCACAGGAGCAAGAGCAACCTAGAATGGAAAGTAAAAGTATTTTAGTGTCATCTTCATGTGTACACTTTTAGTATTTTAACCTGTAAAGTCCCTCTCTGACTCACTGCAGGAGCATGTGACACATACAGTCATATGCAAAAGTTTGGATGACCCTGATAAAATGACATGTTTTGATGATTTTCTGAAGAGTTTAATGCCCCAGAAAAAGCTCCCTCACAGAAGGTTATTACGCAAAATGGTTATGGATACACTGCCTAATGGCTGAAACATCATTTGAGAGTTTTCAGATAAAGTTTTGGCTTAAAATGTATTTTTGAAATACCTTCACGGTGGAGAAAGATGTGGAGGGTGTTGTAAGGCAAAATAGTACCATCATTACATACAAAAACTCAACAGAAGACAAGTGTGGATTCACTAGTTGTTTTGGATAGTAAAATAGTGGGTATATTTACACTGTAGACATGGTTCCCCTGCTTCCTGTCTCCACCACCACTGTAAGGAAATTAGAGATAGTATGTTTCTCTATAATTCACCCCTTCATGTTAAAATAACTCTGAATGACTGTTTACATCTCGGCATTCCCCTTTAAGGATCATTTTTATTGTGACTTAGCATCAAATATATGAAATAATAGTTGCACAAACCTCTTTTCTACTGTGGATCATTAATAATTCAAATAATTAAGATCATTAATTTATAAAAAATGATCTGCGCTGCTTTGTTTCTGTGTACTCCTTTATAATGATCTCTGTTTTAATGCATTGCACTTGGGCAAAGCCTTACACATCTCCTCAAAGTCAGAATTGTTAATGATTTCTTTTCTTGCTTGCAGTATGTCTTTAATGATCTTAGTGGATCAGTGTCTCTGGCTTGGATTGGAGATGGAACAGGGGTGAGTGTTAAATGTGTTATACCAATGTTATTACGCTAATATATCTTTTTAAATACAGTGGATTTTAAGCATGTGGTAGAGATGAAGTGGGGCATGGATGGTTTGACGAGTGCTTCATTGGTATCAGCTGATAATTGCTTAAAATCATGAGATCAGTGTTTTTTTTACTGCTAGTCTGATGAGGCATTGCTTAACCCAGGTTTATTACATACAAGGTTTATTATTCAGTGACTACAGGGACTTCAGTGCAAACTAGCTGAGCTATTCTTTGGTTATAGAAGTATGATAAAACTGGGCATGCCAGTGGGTCCTGGCCATTAAGGGGTTAACCTGTGTTCAGTAGACACTGCTCAGAACCTCTTTTTTATACAGCTGGGTTACAGTGAGAATTAAACTTTCATCTTGTGGAAACTTTGCTGAACCTGGTTTATTTAATCAATTTTTGTCCATATTTCGGTTTAGATGATCTCAGATGGTATTTGCACTGTCATATGCAGATGTAGAGATAAAGTAGTATTGACTGGGATTGGTCAAGAATTGTCATTGTGGCACACTGCTGAGTGAGAATTGGATTGAGCTTTGTTTTCCACTCTGTGTTTTTTCCATGTGTTCTGCTTAATAGTACTAGAAAGTTGTTGTCTTCATGGAACATTCTTTCATAATAAGGAACTTTTAGCACAGAGAAACTCAAGAAGTATGATACAGATATAAACTGAGACTTTGTACGAAGGTCATATGTTTGGAAATGTTTTTAGGTTTCAAGTCTCTACCAAACAATTTGAGAAACTTTATGAAATAAGTATGTATTTAAAATACTCTTTATGGCTCGCTGCTTTTTTTATTCTATACTTATCACGTAGGCTCAAAATAGATAATGAATGAGAATGAAAATGTATTTTGACCCAGAAATCTCAGGTTTTTGTTCTGACAGTTTAGTTTAGAGTGCAGACTATGACTGTGGTTTCACATATTGATTGTAAACATGTAGAAGGAAAACCTTGGACTGGAGTTCTGGTGCTGTCCACTGTGCACTAGGAGGTGGGCCTCCCTTGTTGGTCTAGGAGGGGAGTGTAGTCCTTGGCAGTGTAAATGAAGTTTATGCTTGATGCTGAAGTGTCTACTTTCTTCTTTCCAGGTTCTTCTGGCCCTGACTACATTTCAGGTGCCTTTGTTCATGCTAAAATTTGGCCAGTCCAGACTTTATAGGAGGTAAGCTGCTGTTGAATTTGGTCTTGCGTGTCCATCATTATGAATATTTTTGGATGCCTATCATTTAATGACCAATTTTTCTTATATTTTGTTCTTTTGTTCAATGTGTTCTGTATTATTACCTGTTTCTCTCTTTTACATACCTCTTCCCTTTCTTTCCCTGCATCAGTGAGGACTATGGAAAGACATTTAAGGATGTCACATCTCTTATCAATAACACCTTTATCAGTACTTACTTTGGGATTGCCATTGGCCCTGAGCAATCCGGGAAGGTGAGAGGTTGCTCTAATAATGTTCAATGTCCAGTAACTGATCTGAACTATTTAAAGATTAATTAACAACATTGATTCATCAAATATTAATTTCTTTTGACATTAGACACTATACATGCAGGGAGGTTTAATAACTTCCACTGTGCTTAAAAATGAGACAAAAAGATGCCAGAAGATTTTTAACATTACTAACAACAATTGGTATTTTGTGGGTTGTCTAGGAATGAGACAGATTTTTTTCACTGCTGTGTATGTCCTTTCTCATTTTTCTTCTAGGTGATTCTTACAGGAGATCTGTCTGGAAATAGTGGCTATAGAATTTTCCTCTCCAAAGACTTCGGGAAGAGCTTCACTCATTCAGACCTTCCTTTCAGCCCACTGATGCAAATCATGTACAATCCTCAAAATTCCAGTGTACTTGTGGCCATCAGCACCAAGGTGAGAGAGAGAAAGCATGATAAACAGTTTTTTACAATGTTTATAGTTATCTATTTCTGCTTTTATTGGTATTCCTTTTTTATTGAGCTTATTTGCAGTTTGGACTTTTGCTCTTATCTGGTTCATAATTCACAATATCCACTGTAATATATATATATATATATATATATATATATTACATATATTATATATTATAATATATATATACAGGTGCTTGTTTAAGTATCACTGTGTGAAATTGTGGCTGCCAGACATGTGATCAGTGTATTGGTTATGGGCCTAAACAAACATGAACAAAGCATAAACAAAGAACAAAAACAACTGATAAGGCTACTTGGTTTTAGACTTTTTACTTCTGTGATTAGTTCTTCCTATGCTTGCTGTTGTTGAGCTCTACTGTATCAGCATGTCCTCTTTATCTTTTGCATTACTTCAGTATGACCTCTGGATTTCCGAGAACTTTGGTGAGACGTGGAGGAACATCCATGACACTGTGTGTGTGGTGAAATGGTAAGAGGCTTTTGGCCTATTCGTTTACAGAAATAAACATTCCAATATGGCTGCCATAGCACCAAGCTGATACTTTCTGCTGAGTCATTTTGAGCACCTTCCTGCTCAACACAGCCTTGCGAAGTCTCAGGAACCTCTGTATCACTTTCACAAAATTGGTTCATGTCTGTTCAGAAAGTTTTAACAGTAATCTCTCTAAATCCTTATTCGGACAGGATAGTTTACCATAGGGAGGTGGGGTAAAGCCAGTTTACTTCAGGAAGTCTATAATGTTTATGACCAATTTAAGTCTGACAAAACTTACAGAGAGAAAGCTAATGACCAAGCGAGAAGCTAAACTATTAAGCATAACTAATTCACTTATTTCTCTAGTTCACTTGTTGAGTTGTGCTCCGTTGGTGTAGCAGGCTAGGAGTGTTGGACTAAATTATGTGTGCTCATTTGAAAATTAGGACTGCGCTCGGACAGTTCTCAGATTGGTCTGTAAAGCAGATGTATTTAATTCTGTTTATGCCTAATTTTTTCATTCACACTTGCTAGATTTCTAATATAACTAGGGTTGTGACTGTCCAAAGTGCCAGTATTCAGATACTGAAATCACTATTCAGGTACCCGTTCTGTTTCCGCAAAGGAAGATACAGGGGAATATACAGAATAACAGTTCAATGAAATGCCACTTTTATGTTTCAACAGGACTGAAAAATGTAACGGTTTTGCTTGTGTTTGTGAGCATGTATGTATTTAACATTTGGCATATCGTCCAGATGTAAGTCAACGAGTTTTCATTAGTATCCAGTAGTGCTGCAGCTATTGATTATTTTAGTAATCGAGTATTCTGCCAATTATTCCATCAATTAATTGGTGTAGAAATACTTTCTCTTTATTGAAGAAAAATAGTAAAGTAAGGCATGAGTGTTTCCTACTTAGAAAAATCAACATTTCTATTGCTTAGATTAGGTACAGTAATATTATCTGTCAAACCTAAACCATTTAGTGCATTTAAGTGTCACATTACAATCTGGGTTTTAAAGAAAACCTTTTCTGAAATGCAATAACAAACAAATAAAACTAATTTCACGTTACTTCAGAAGAGTTATACATATAAAGATGTTCTTTTTCTTCTTCTTATTATTGTTATTCTTATTATTATTATTGTTATTAGGCCTCAATATCATACAGTAAGTTCATAAGATTGCCTTATGTACATTTATTTTCTATGTTGAACAGTTGCCCTACACTTACTGACCCTACTCATTGCAGTCAAACTGAACTGAATATGCCTGCTGTATTGGATTGCTGCATTTTAGGCTGCAACTACTACATATACCACCTGATATTTTGCTTTCTGGGATATTTTATGCATCACTGTGAGGGGAGTAGGTGTGTGTTTGTGTGTGTTCATGTGAGTGTGTGAGACGATCATAATAATACGACTAAAGCTCAGGCTATAAGAAAAACCAGGCCCCCATGACAGCCGCGGGAGCTGGCGGGAAGGCGGGGCCTGAAGCCCAAATGAAGAAGAAACCCAATGAGGATGGCAGAGAGAGAAGGAGAACTGCAAGAGAGTGGTGGACAGGGCGCAAGTCCTTGCTCGTGGTTCGGGCCCTGCCTTCTTGCTGGCTCTTGTGGCTGTCATCAGGACCTGGGGGATGGGCGCATGCCTCAGTAACTTGTTTACAAAAAGGGAAATTATCTTGGAAAGGAGGCACATCAAAACCTTCGAAGCAATATGGCTGCACAATTAATATTTGACTTAAATAGCCCTGTCAGGAACTGGCTTCAACACTCAGTTTTAGTTTCGCTTATGTGTGGAACAAAGGGACTGCAGTAGGATTGTTTACATAAAGTGCACTCTGTGTATGAGTGTGTATGTGTACACCTTAGCGCTGAAAAACAATCTTGCCACCACTGTAGCTAGCTCAGACTGTTTCACCTGACCTTGGCTAGATCACCTGGTTTCTTGGAAAATGACTCACGCTCTGGTAGTCAGGTCTGGGTGACAAAGAACTGAAGAGAGCAAATTGACACCCAGGTGTGTGAAAAGGCTCACGTGACTTTCCTGCTATTCAGTGCTAAGACATCAGCATGAGGTACCATGTTTCTTTTATGTTAACTGAGTCCAGTGGTGCATGCAAAGATGACCATTAAAGACAGCGTTGCAGAAGCAAATCTGAGAAATATGATTAAGCTACCTGTTGCACTCTGTCAGAAAAGTTTAAGCCAGAGCAAAGCTGGTACAAGAGAAAAGTAATTTGTTTTGCAAATGATTTAAAGATCTGACTACTTTGAATTAACTATGGAGTAACATAGTATTTGAGTGTTTCTGGCCCTGGAGTGCCCTTGCTTCAAAACTCATAAAGAGCTTGGTAATTAGCTGATGAGTGTTGGAACAGACTAAATCGCACCGTTTGAAAACAGTGATCTGTATACAATTTAGATCTAGACAATGAAGCTGCCTAGTTACAGAATGCCTTGCCTAACAGATGGTGCACAGTAGTTTGACCCCTAAATAAAAGCTAGAAGTTTGCTTTCTAAGTTTTAAAGTGTACAGCCAAATGCAAAATTTCACTCCTGGTCAAAGGACACGTCTGTTGATTTTCTAGATGATGATAAGTTAACACATTCTCCACAGAGAAAACACTTCTGCACATTTTAATGATTGATGAGTAGTGTTTGTTTGCTGAATTTGATCAAGGGTGTTCAAACTTTTACACGTGACTGTATGAACAAAACTGCTCATAGGCCCATATCATGGAAAAACTTGCTTTTGTTTTGGAATAAATGAGTTTGATGTAGTATATAAACATTGTTAAAGTACCATTCACTTCCCAGTGCATATATGGATACTTATCTATGAAAGCAGCCCATTTTGAATTCATTGTTTTGTGATGTCATGAAAACATATCAAATGTTGAAACAGAAATTGTCTTGCTTTTTTAAACTATATGTGCCCATTTTGAATTTGATGCCAGCAACACATGTGGAACATCTCACAGCTAATTAGGTTAATGGGCAACAAGTCAGTAACATGATTGGACAGAAAAAGAGAGCCTTTCAGAAGTAAAAATGGGGAGGTGTTCACCACTCTGTGAAAGACTGCGTGGGCAGATATTGCAACAAATCAAGAAGAATGTTTCTCAACATGTAATAGCAATGTAATACTTGGGGATTTCATCGTCTATGGTACATAATATCATAATATCACTAAAAGATTCAGAACCTGGAGAAATCAATTCGGCCTTGGTACAAGGCCAAAAACCAGTATTGGTGGATGGCTGTGACCTTCGGGCCCTCAGGCGGTACTGCATTTAAAAAAACAGAGCCGATTCTGTAGTAGAAATCACTGCATGGGCTCAGGAACACTTCTGCAAAGCATTGTCTGTGAACACAGTTCATTGCTGTATCCACAAATGCAAGTTAAAACTTCACCAAAGAAGAAACTATGTATAAGCAGAAATCAGAAACACCACCACCTTCTCTGGGCCTGAGCTCATTTAAGATGGACTGAGGTGAAGTGCAAAAAAGTCCTGTGGTCCGACGAATCAAAATTTGAAATTCTTTTTGGAGATCATGGACGCTGCGTCCTCCAGGCCAAAGAGGAGAGGGACCATCCAGCTTGTTATCAGCGCACAGTTTAAGAGCCAGCATCTGTGATGGTGCTGGGGGGTGCATTGGTGCACATGGCATGAATGACTTGCACATCTGTGAGGGCACCATTAACACTGAATGATATATACAGGCTATGGAGCAACACATATTGCCTTCCTGACAACATCTTTTTCAGGGAAGGCCTTACTTATTTCAGCAAGACAATGTCAGACCAAGAATTCTGTGTATATTACAACAGCATGGCTCCATAGTAAAAGAGTTCACTACGCCAAATTTGTCATTCAAACATTTGGCACAGTAAAAAGTGAAAAATTTGATACAATAGACCCCAAACTGTTGAGCAGCTGATCTCCTATGTCAAGCAAGAATGGCAGAACATTTAACTTTGAAAACTACAGCAGTTGGTCTCTTTAGTTCCCAAACGTTTACAGAGTGTTGTTAAAAGAAGAGGTGATGAAACACAGTGGTAAACATGCCCCCGTCCCAACCTTTTTGAAATGTGTTGCTGGCATCAAATTCAAAATGGGCATATATTCTTCAAAAAGCAACAAAATTTCTCAGTTTAAGCATTTGATATGTCATGTTTGTATGTTGTATTTTCACTTAAATTAAGGATATAAATGATTTGCACATCATTGCATTCTGTTTTTATTTACATTTTTGCACAGTGTCCCAACTTTCTTGGAAGCAAGCTTTTTTTTAGTTGATTAACTTGCCTGATCCCCAGCACATGCATTTTGACTGATGTAATGTTTGTTTGAAATCTTTGTTGAAATAACCATTTCCTATTACCCACTAAATTATGTGTCTAACATCAGTAATTTTGGTATATGCTTTATCACAGGGAGAGAGACAATACCCTCTTCTTCTCCACAAACCGGAATGGCTCCTGTTGTGAGTAATGTTTATTACACAAGTGTTGACCTAAGGTGTGGTGTGATGGGAATGTGTGCCATTGTCTTCCTTGTAGGGATATGTTGTGTCTGCTCATTCCAGTTATCTGACCAATGCATTTATATGTGGAGCTCTCTTAACTTTACAGCCCGGTATCAAAAGTAATAAAATATTTTCCTGATGCACTTCCTTTATGAAACTATTTCAGTGACCTTAAAACAGGATCAATAATATAATGGATGAACCAGTTCATATTTCTCTTCATATTACTCACTGCTTGTTTCTGTTTTTTAGATGACAGAGGTGCACTTACTTTGAGGAAGACAGTAGACAATGGTGTCACATTTAAAACAATCGCTGAGAAGATTTACTCCTTTGGTATCGGTGGCCGTTTCTTGTTTGCCTCAGTTATGATGGGAACGGTAAGCATTCTGCCGATCATGAGGTGCGGCTTGTGATAAGATGGTGTATGTATGTGGGTGTTTGTGTACCGCACTGCATGTGTAATGTGTTTAGATCAGGGCTGTCACGTGGTTTGTATTTGAGTAAATGTGTGCTGGGCCTCACAGTATGTGTCTCTCTCAGGGTGTGATGCGAATGATCCATGTGTCTGTGGATCAGGGTGAGGAGTGGAACATGGCACAGCTTCCTCCAGTAGGACATGAGCAGTTCTACTCAATATTGGCAGCTAACGATGACGTGGTCTTTATGCATGTGGATGAACCAGGCGGTGAATTTATCATATGTTACCATATATTACCTCTGAACAGGCACATGTAATTGATCACTTCAGACACCATAAAATTAAGGATGCACTGATATTGGAATTGTGGGCTGAGTACTTTTCATTTGCTTACCTGTCGACATTGGTACTTCATCTACCCAAATAATGGATAAATCTAAGTATCTGTCTTATATATTTTTTCAAGCGAATATCTGCTGAAACCCATATAAATCTGATATCATTGTGCACCACTACATAAAATATTCAAGTATTCATTTTCCTATTATAAGTAATTAGTAACTAAAGTTAACTGAATCTGATACTACCAAGAGTGTAAGTTTTTGACAATACACCATCTGTATTTTCCTTTGTTATGCATTTTAAAGTTTATATATTGTCTCTATATTTTCAGACACTGGCTTTGGCACCATCTATGTGTCAGATGACAGGGGCATGGTGTACTCTAAGTCTCTGGAGCGCCACCTGTACACAGCCACAGGGGGTGACAATGATTTCACCAATGTTACTTCACTCAGAGGAGTCTTCATGACCAGCGTGCTAGCTGAGGGTAAGGCTACTTGCTGTATATAAGATGGCAGACTGATGTATGTTGAACAGTCTATTTTCTTTTTTACAGTAGTTTCAGTCCTAGAAACCCTGTGCACTGTATTTCTGCTGTGATTGTTCAGCACAGAGCTACTATCTCAGATCCTACCTGAACTCAGTTATTGACTGAGCTTGACAACGATCAGCTGATTATATTGGCATTCTTTGTGAATGTTCCACCTTGTAGATGGCTCCGTGCAGACTGTGGTGTCATTTGACCAAGGAGGAGAGTGGGTGCCCCTGAAGAAACCAGAGAACAGCAAGTGTGATTCCACAGCTAAAGATAAAGATGCGGTGAGGGCCAGTGTGAGGGAATGAGAAATTTCACTTAAAAGCCAGAGTTTCCAAACTTTTTCATGCCAGGACCCACATACCCACAATAAATATTTTCAGTCCGCTTTCACTCTGTATTACTGTTTAGCAAATACAATAGTGAGCAGGATAAAAGAATGAAATGTATGTAAACCTACATAATTGCACACATAATAAGATTTTAATTGAAAAATAATAAAACAATGAGAACAGTTATTTGTTCTATATTTAGATGTAATTCAGACAGCTTTTACCTTCAGTATGAACACATTTATTATTCAATAATTTAGTTTAGTTGGACACTACATATTGAAATTTGTTGTGATCCATGTTGTCAGCTAGATTTTCACTCTGATCGCCATAGATTAATTAGGCTAAAGCAAGCTTTTGGCATTTGCATGAAACTTTATATATGCTTGCTGCATGTGGCCTATATGATTATATCGCTGCTGACGGAAGAAAACATTTTTCAGTTTTTGACACAATCTGAAAGTGCCTGTTGCCCTTTACATTGTTTGTCAATTTCATGAAGAATGGACCAATAGAAATGGCCCAAAATGACTTGGACTTACATTAAAAGTAAATTAGGTAAAAGTAAAAAGTAAAAATTTCCTGTGAAGTTATCGTTTTGGAGATACGAGGTTTTCTTCCAATAACAGCGATATGCAAGCATGAATGGTAAAACTATAAATATACTCATCGATGCAGCTTCATTGTGACCCAATACAAACACACAGTTTCAAAAACAAGGTGTAACTTGAAGAAACTATGTGTGACTCCTGTTATCTCTGTGTTGGTTGTTTTGAAAATTAACTGTTTTGGTTTAATTTTGCTTTTGACTTTCCATTGTGCCTTATGCCTTATGTGCCTTATATGTGTATTAATCTGTTGTTTGTTTACTCAATGCAGTGTAGTCTACATATCCATGCATCCTACAGTATCTCCATGAAGGTGAATGTGCCAGTGCTGCCTCTGAGTGAGCCCAGTGCTGTGGGACTGATAATTGCTCACGGTACTGTCCAGGGTTAACATGCTCTGTCTCTTTTTAACATGCACACACTCACATAAGCTGTGACACAGAGACACTTCTTGATAAACTGCACATGTTTAAAGTCTCACCACCTCTTATGCAAACAGTGTCACTAGACCTTGATGTAGCTGAGCTGCTACTGTTTTACGAGCCAAATTCTGCACCTGGGATCACGTTTACCCTGACAGTTGCTAAGTCTAACACGGAAATGGATAGGCAAATAGTATCAACACATAATAACTCTAAATAATGTTTGACGTCCGCTTACAAAATAGACAAGCTTATCTCAGGTCAGCTTACCCTGTATTTACAGATGGCAGTTTATCTGTAAAAAACAGTCAAGAAAAGTCAGTCTCACTCATCATAACAACGATAGATATGTTGACACTCAGACATAACCAGTGAGTAGCCTGCTTGTGCCTCTTGATGACTCTCAAGAGTGTTTTTGTTGAGTCCTCACTCCACTCTCCCTTAAGTTAATCCCCTGCATGAGTGGACTTCTTTTGGAGGAAGCTACCAGATATCATTGTGCCCCTACCCTCTGTGTTCAGCGCTCACATGGGGTCTCGCTAGTCTGCAGGTTCTTAAGAAGTCTTAATTTGTCTAAAATTACATTTTACAAATAAAGGCCTTAATAAGTATTAAACTGTCTTAATGTCACACACATTGAATAGTGCAGGGGTCCTCATTAAGCGCATGCACAATATTTACCACTACCCATATTAATGACAACAGTAGAGTGCTGTAGTGCCAGTACACCGCCAGTAGGTGTTTGTATAAGTTTCTCCTGCATTTCGACAGGCTTTGGCCTCAATACTCCTCTTCCATTCACAGGTAGCGTGGGTGATGCCATCTCAGTCTTGACTCCAGACGTGTATGTCTCTGATGACGGTGGATACACATGGCTGCGTGCACTTGAGGGCCCCCATCACTATGCCATCCTGGACTCAGGAGGCCTGCTGGTGGCTGTGGAGCACAAACCCAATATGCCCATCTCTCAGGTCAAGTGAGTGCACTTGATTTGTAAGTGGCTGTTTGGTTGAAGAGCCACTGTTTAATATTAGTTGTGGGTGTGATAGTAGGTCAGTCAAAAGCTTAAACACTTAAATGTTACCTTGTTTATTAGGTTTTCCACAGATGAGGGCCAGTGCTGGCATGTGTACAACTTCACTAAAGAGCCTCTCTACTTCACTGGGCTTGCCTCGGAGCCAGGGGCGCGCTCCATGAATGTCAGCATCTGGGGCTACAGAGAAGATCTGTTCACACAGTACTGGGTCTCCGTCACTATCGACTTCAGAGAGCTGCTTACTCGTGACTGTGAGTGTCATTTGTAGGTGTTTTTTACTGTGATCATAATGCACACAGAGCTGCTGGTGCCAATCTATATTTAATTACGTACTTATAAAATAGCTATGTGTAAAGTCTGTGAATGTTACATTGCAACAGCTTACAAAAATTATTTTTACTTGGCCTACCTTAATATAAATCTTAAGGGGTCATGTCTCATTAATATTAATTATTTGTGTGAATCTCGGTAGAAAGTTAAAGGTACTGTTTGCCTTTTTAGGTGGTGATGAAGACTATGTGCCGTGGCTGGCACATTCAGATGACATCAGTGACCCTAACGATGGCTGCATGCTTGGTTATAAGGAGCACTTTCTACGACTGAAGAAGGACTCGGTGTGCTGGAATGGGCGAGATTACATTGTCAGCAAGCAGCCCACACCATGCCCCTGCACGCTGGATGACTTCCTGTGGTCAGTATTCATACTGGTATTGGAAAATGTGGTATGTAAAATTTGGAGAGAAAATTGCTTTCAGTGTAGTACTAGGCCAAGTCTCTATCCGTGAGACCAGTACATTATGCATAACATGTTTTGCTGCATTGTTATTCTTAGCAGCCACAACCTCATGATAGCTGAAAAAACCCTACTCACTTCCTGTAGGTAAAAGAACTCAACAAAGATCAACCAAAGTGCTTGAAAACAGTTTTATTGGTTTGGCTTCCTTAGCTTTAAAGTAAGGCTAAATAATTTGGGCCAGATTTTTTCATTGCAATTGACCAATATCATGACTATAATTTCAATTGCAATTATTTTCTGTAAGTTGAGCTCCAGGCCTGGTTGTTTTTTGTTTTTTTTTGCTATGAAAACCAGCACGTCCTCTTCCACCACATTCTGGTTTAAGGCTTAAACGCTACACATCATGTGCCAGAATGCCGGTTGGTTGAAGGTGTGTTGTTATGTTCGCAGCATAGTTGTTTGGGTGTTTCTGATTACCCTTATCTACAGGTGTTTCAAGCTCAACCTGTTATTAGGTATAATTTTCCCAATTAAAACATTGTGGATTATACAGGCTAAAATAAAAATTGCACTCTTTTACATTGTAATTTTAATATCATTAATCTTTCAGTTCTACTTGCAAGTGACTCAAAATATCTTTATCCATCTTTCTCTGTCTTAGTGACTTTGGATACTACCGAAAGGAAAACAGCTCAGAGTGTGTGGAACAGGCTGAGCTCAGAGGCCATGATCTAGAGATCTGCATTCATGGCAAGAAAGAACACCTACAGACCAGTGGGTAATAAACTAATAATAAATCATAATAAATGATAGCTGCTAAATTCACTGCATTATCTCAAGGAAATGTACTGAAAGAACACAGTGCCTTCCTTTGTCTCAGGTAAATAGGGGAAGCTATATAGAGTGTATGGAGGTGGTTAGCGTAATGCAATAAAAACTCCTGTTTCCTATCCTCAGGTATCGTAAGATTCCAGGAGATAAGTGTGAAGGAGGCAAAGAACCTGAAAGAAAAGTCATTGATGTGAGATCAAAATGTGTTAGCAATCTACTGGAACCACAGCTGCAGGTGAGAATAGCTGCAGTAACAGTGTTGCACATAAGGAATGTGACTGAGTGGGTGAGTGAATGTGTTTACGAATAAAGGAAAGCAGCAATAAATGCATCAATTAATGAGACACTGGAAACTAATGTAATATATAAAGTTTATTTTATGTAAATGTTTTTGTTTTTTTCTGGTAGAAGCAGGATGAGATGAAACACTCACACTCTGCCCCTGTTATTGTGACAGTCGTAGCCATCCTACTCATCAGCTGTATAGCTGGTGTTCTTTTTGTGAAGAAGTACATCTGTGGAGGAAGGTGAGTTATTTCTCTTTCTTAAACAAATCTGTTGTGGTATAATTGTTGATACTTTATTAGTGAATCCCTGCATAAAATGCATATGGTCTATTCTAATCACCCTGTCAGTCTGTCTATATGTATGATTGTCTGTTCATCCATCCACAGATTTCATTATAAATCATATATATATATATATATATATATATATATATATATATATATATCAAAAGATAACAGTATTTAACATTGTCAATGGATTATAACCAATTTTAATGACTTCAGAATCATTTTCAAGGTCACTCGGCCACTGCAAGATTTGAGGTGTTAATATCTTCTTTGCTATTAAAAAAATAAACACAAAAAATGACAAAGTACTGTCTGTCCTTCATGTCCAGGTCCCAGATAATGTGCGCAGTATAAGGTCAATTACAAAGCAACTGGATTGCAAACCTTTTTCACCCAGAAGCCCAATTTGGATGGGGTCAAATTTACATGGGGTCCAGGGGTAATTTTCTCATTTACAGGTGCTGCTTGGTGTTTTTATTTCTATCTGGATTATTCTTGTCTGCCTACTCCCCTATGAAAATGACCTTTACACTGAACTCAGTGGTGCTGTGATAATTTTAGTCCCGTCCTGATATGCTTATCTTTTCGACGGCTGCTGCTGGCTGCATTTAGTCTCCTACTGTGTGTATCCATTTCAAACACTTCCTGAGTTACAAAACGACAGACGCTTTGGAGATAGTTGGTCTTAGACCAAGTGGTAGAACTTCATCTCTGTCCTCTCTACACTAGGAGAGCATATGGGGGGACAAAGTCAATCAGTAAAGCGAGATCCCACAGGCTGATTAAATAGGCAGCTACAGCTAAATATATAAGCAAAGCATTACTTGTATTCACAATGTTATCATATGGCCACATGTGATGCAAATGTATGGGCTCGTAGGAAATACAGCCGACTAAAAACTTGGGCAGTAATTTCATTGCCATCCAGATGCAACGGAAAAACTCCTGATGAATGAATCCAATCTGAATGGGGTTATAGAAGTATAGCCCAAAAAGGGAGTGGTGTTGGTTTTACTAGTTGGTTTAAAGAATCAAAAAAGATGAAAGTTTGATAAGTTGTTTCCCTGTTTCCTCCGCAACCCTATGTGGATTAAGCGGTTAATGATGATGAATGAATGAATGAATTTCCTGTTTCGCCACTGTTTGGGGGACCTTGACTTGATTGCTTTAGTCGTTTGGAGTAAATGCGCGAGGGGGTAATGTAATGGTCATTAGAAGAAGCTGCCTTTTCTGTGTGCTGCAGGTTCCTGGTGCATAGGTACTCAGTTCTGCAGCACAATGCAGAGGCTAATGGCATAGAAGGAGTAGACGAAGCTCTGGATACAGACGTGGCTGGACATGCCAAGATCGGCTTCCATGATGATTCAGATGAGGTACAATTAAGTGCATTAAGCTTAAATAATCGCACATTAAGAGCTGTCGCTAAATGGACTCGACTGACAATTTTCCAGTAAAAAACACTGCTAAGACCCATCCATGCAAAGCAATGCTTCCAGGAAGCTCGGAGCCATTACCTCCATTTTGCATTTTTCACATGTATGCAAAGCATTCCAAAACCAATCTAAAGTAAATGATGGCGCTGTTTGTGTAGGACCTCCTGGAATAACTGTGATGATTCAGCACCAGCAGGAACAGGGGAGATCTCTATCTCCTTTTCCCTCAGGCATCTTTGCTGCAGTTTATACTCCTGCTAGAAAGCACAACCCAGCCCCCAGGCTCTGCAGTCCTTCAGAAATACTGCTGTAGTTCTTAATTCTCCCGTGGAGTGAAATGCAGTTATAAAGGTATCTCATGAATGTAGATATAGATAGTAACTTGATGAACCAGAATAATGCAGGGTGGCAGGCCAGTGTTTAAATGGCTACAGCTTAGAGGATGTCAATTTTTTCTTGCCTGGGGAGCTTAGATCTTATTGGTTTAATTGGAGAATACTTTGTTGGATGAAATTAGCAGTGGGTTACTATTACGGCACTTACTCTTATACAGAATCCCCCTCTTTTAGAAATGTGCACAGTTCAAAATCCCATTATGACTGGTTATTAGCATATGAAGCTAGCATAGGAAGACCAATGAATCATATCACTGCAATATTAGATGGACAAATTAACTGTGGTTCTGTGACATTTTATATTTTTGACTACCCTATTGCCACACCCCTCTCCATTCTTGTTAAATATGATAATCAGAAAATACGCAGCCTGAAGTTTTATGGCCTTTTTTTTTTTGCTTTTTTTGTGATTGGAGAATCTTGTTAAAGCAGCAATACAAAGTGTAGATACAGTGCATCTGCAGATATAGGCACCCACATAAACTATCCCATTTGTTTCTTAAAAATGACAAAAAGAATATTTAATTTACCTGAAACTATGCCTCTGTGTTAGAATAATAGACAGTTTATGTCGCTGCATAGTTTGTGAACTACCTTTGCATATAAAGTTAATTTATTCTACAGAGTGGAACCAACAGAAATAGGAAAGGATATGTAAAGAAAAGTAAAGCTGTTCTTGTATCTATGAGTATCTATATCCAGAGAAATTTTACTCCAATAATTTTATAGAAGGCACAGTGATTTTCGTGAAGTTTTTGATGGTCAGCAGTTTTTGCACTGTGATACATGAGGCAAGTATGTGAGGTTCACTGCTGCCTTTGGAAAAGTTCTGTTGGAAATATTGCAGTTACGAGCACCAGCATAAGTTATGAGCCCATACATGTAATTGTATGTGAGGAATTAGTAAATGATAAAGATCTTAGCAGCGTTAATGTGCTGGAAACTCGTAATTACAGTATTCCAGTATTGCTTGAAGTACACAAATAATATGTGAGTTTTGAGTTAGACTGTTCAGGCTAAAATGTTAAAAATGTTTTAACTTAAAACTACAATTCCAGCATGAAATGAGCTTAACTTGAATGTGTGAGATCAGTGTTTGTAGATATGCCCGTGTGTTTAACTGAAGTTGAGAAAAGAAACCCATGCAGTTTGCAATTTCTGTGTTTGACTATTCAAATGCAATAGAACACTTTACCTCTTTTTATAAGGATGTTCTTTTCTCTCCTACCACTGTTTTGAGGTCTAATTTAGTTAGTGTTGTTTTCGCAAATTAAAGCAGGGGTTTAAATGCAGTCCTCAGGGACATAACCCACAACAACCACAAAAAATACACAACATTTTGATCCTGTTGCTATTAAACAAATTCAGCATTCTTGTTGGCCAAATGTAAGTATCTACATGTTTTGATGGCTTTTTCAGTTTAGTTTACTACAAGTGGGCGTGTTCTTTTCATGTTGAGAATGAAATATTTCTTGGTAAATCAGAAAATATGTTGCCTGAAGTTTTGAGGTGGTCCTAAATTTTGCTACAGTCATGTCCACAGATAAGACTGGTGATATGACAGAATGCCACCAGAAATGTTTTGAGAATCACTGGAGCAGCCATTTATGAGCAAAGTCACAAAATATGATGTTCCTGTGACTGTTCTAAGTGCTTTGAGTATATGGACCCAGGTTTCTACAGCATTTGAGTGCCTAGAACTGTAACAGAATAAAACTGTGGACTGGCTGGGGGTCCCTGAGGTCTGGAATATAAACCCCTGGATTATAGTTCATATAGATTATGATTCCAGAGTTCTGTTACTTGTTCCTTTTTAGTTATAAAACTGTTAGACTACAAATGCCCAGAAACCCATTTATAAATCTGTTTTACTTATTTCTTTTTTTTCCTGTTAAATCCTACAACAATCATTTGTAATATATGGCAGTTATGCCTCAGTTGTGCAAATTTGAATGGGTTTTATTTATTCTTTGAGAGAAGTAATCAGTAAAGAAATACTGATATGTGTTCATCCAAGTGCCTACCATGAAGGTATGGTGTGTGCCTTCAGAAAGAACCATAAAGTTCATCTTGTTAAATAATTAACAGTGAGGAAGCAGATATGTGTATCTAATTTCTTTGGAGATTACTTGGTAACCAGAGGTGTTGGAACTGTTTAAGCTGTCACTTGGTCTGCCTGATTGAATGTCTTTCAGTACGGACTCATATGGTGAAGTTTGATCTAGCCTGCTGCTTTGCAGATTTACAGCAATTTGAGATTTTGGCAATATGATAAAACATAAACTTTGATATCTTCTAGATCCCACAACAGTACTCCTGTGCATGCTAATTTAGCAAATAAATCATAACTTGTTTGGGTTGCACTGGGGACTAAAGCTGGGTATGCTGGCTGCAGCACAATCTAAGACTAAAGGGGTTTTCTACTTTGAGAGCTGTCACTTTTCTTGGTGTTGAAGAATTACTGTATATAATAGTCATTCATGCAGGCTCTGTAAATATATACCTGCATCATCTTTGTACCAGCTGTTTTCACTCTGTATATTTGGGAAAAAAATATGTTTGACAAATCAACCTGTCCCCTTCTTTTTGAGCTTTTGGATTGGGTTCATGTGTTTTGCAACATACTGAGATTTCAATGTTAAATAATTTGTGTTATTTTATTTTGCAAAATATTATATTACCATTCAAGAACATTCATACATGATGACTTTTTTTCAATCAAAATTCCACATTTTATTATTCTAAAGGCATATGAGAACAAATAATCCCCAACATGTCACACTAGAACATTCATTTAAGAAGCAACATTACTGATGCTTACTGGGAAGTGGACTGCTAATGGTTGGTTCATATCCTGTAAAGAAAGTTGCCTTCACTGTCAAAAAACTCCCTGCCCTTCTGTTCCACCGCACAGGGCTTTTCATGCAGTGTTTGCACAAGTTCCTCAAGTTCTTCTTCTGTGAGAAACACTCGTTCCCAGTCCTGCTCTTCCTCCAGCTTTAAACTCTTTGCCTCTTGTTTCTCAAAGGTCTGATCCCATGATATGCTCTGTGCCATAGCTGGGGCAGCTGATATTTGAGATGTTCCTCTTGATTGTAGTGTAAAATCACCACCAGAGGGAACCAGTCTTGTCTCAAACTCTGTGGGTGCAAGGGCCTCAGAGCTCAGGGCTGTCAGGGCATCTGTGTTACCTGAGGAAATAGCTGGCACAGTCCTATCCGTCATGGGCAGTCTCAACCTTTCCTTTTTAGATTGGTCAGTTTGACCATCTCCGAGTGAAAGGTGTCTGACTGTGGCCAACACTTTAGAGTCCTGTTTGATCCTCCTCTCTGGAGTGGGGGTGAACTTGCTGCGGAGGATTCTGCAGATGACATCAGGACTAACACAGAAACTGTCCGCTAATCTCTGCACTGTCCATTCCTGTGGTGACTCTTGCTTTAGGTATCTGTGAACAGGTTACATTCACATTAGTGCTTAAAGGAGTATAAAGCGGGAGTTTAATTTTAAAGAACAACATAGCAAAAATACGGATTGGCTCTTGTGGGCCCATGTTTTCAGTGCCAAAACCAGTGCCGTGTGCTGGGTGGTTTATGATACTAAATGCTGAACCAACTTCTCCATTCTTTAATTCCTGGACAGTTGCATAGGAGTCTTATTTTTTGTTGCTGATATCCAAAAACCTTCTGTCTCCCTTTCCACTTTTTTGCATAATTTGAAATGTTAAAATTTCATGATGAACGAACCAAAAGAAATGGTCAAAAATTACTTGGTGGGGGGGGGGGCGTGTTACACTAACTTTCATTACAATATAAAAATGTTTTTTCCTCTTCTAAAGATAACATTTTACGGACATGAGGTTTTATTCCATTAGCAGCTATATGCATGTTCTTTTAAATGTAAAATTGCTGCGCTCAAAGTGGGTAATGTTAACCTACACTACTTCACTAACCCCATTTCAAAATGTGATAAATGAATTACATTAATACAAACTTTCATAGTCTGTATGTATCTGAGTCAGTATAACTGTTACAAGTGTTAGTGAAAACCAAAATACAAATACAGAGAACTTGACATACTTTTTTACTTTTTTTTTTTTTACAGCAAGTAAAATAGTTATATTTGCATTGTAGACATCACAACCCCTGGTTCTATTGCCACCACTGTAAAGAAATTAGGGTCAATTTCACCATCAAACCAAATTTCACATCAAACCACTATGAATGACTTTGTTTACATCTGAACAATTAAATTATACAGACATTTTGAAAACTTGGAATTGGTAGAACTACCTTGTCTTCATAAATAGTTAGGGTTCAAAGAGTACCTTATCTGCTCAATGGCATCCCAACTTAATCTCCTCTCTGGGGCTCCGCGCTCGCTCAACTGCCGCCTGATCTTGTGAAATTTGGCAGCTTTCCTTACTCTTCTCTCCTCACTGAAGAGAAAACAAACATCAACCTATTAATAAAGAAAGAACAGCAGAAATTATATCACTACCCTAAATTTATGCTGTCTTACCTCACAAGGGACTCCAATTTGGCTTCCACTGCATCCATATCAAGTTCCTCCTCTGAAGCATCCTCTTGGCTTCTCCTTCTGTTGTCAGATGTGGAATGCTTTCCAGCAGAGCCCAACCACACACGGGCATCATGGCTGGCATGGCAGCAAATCGGTGCAGTTACAGGCCCTGGAAGAGCAGCTAGCTTCACCAAGCGAACCAGCCTCAGAGTGCCAAGCATGCTGATGAGCAAACAAGAGAGCCTCGTCCTGGCAGAGATGATGGAGGCCTATTTTGAGCAAGAACAAATAAGAATATTAAACTCTCACTACCACAGACAGGAACAGAAATGATCACATGAATGTCTTGGGTTTACCAAAACACACTCAGGCCACTTGGTTTGATGTGAATTGGTGCACTGTAGACAAACTTACTGACTCCAATTTCTTTGCAGGGTGGGTAGGACAAAGGGGCCACAATGTCTACAATGCATAGCCATTTCACTGACTATCCAAACCAGTGAACCTACACGTGTGTTATGAGTTTTATATGTAATGTTGATAAGAGTAAAATAGTGAGTGGTAAATCTGTCCACGTCCCTGGGTGTACCTCTTCACCAAGAATAGATTTTAAAAAGTAGGCCAAAAAATGCCTCAGACATCATGCAACGTAAGTTACATTCAGAACAATCTCATGCAATAACTTTCTGAGGAGGAACTTTCAGAGGCACCAGTTCCTGTCACCACCACCCTGAACAATCCTGACTCGATTATGTTTCTCTACAACAGAGCATTTCACATCACTCTCAAAGATTTTTCCTTACATTTAATTAAGCAGAAACCTAAAGAAATCGATTGAATATTCCACTTTAACTTGCGCCCCCAGTGGAGTCCATGTCCCTTAGCCACTGACCCATCACACAGAAGAGAGGAAGAGGGAGAAACTTGGGTCATTTTACTGAAGGACATCGTTGTGATCATTTTTTTTTATCATTCAGCTGTTCGGTTTATCTAGCTGATAGCAAATTCATCATTTCACCCCCCAAACTCAACACCCCATAGACTATGACATTAATAAATAGGATGCTGTGTAGTAGACATCACTCCCGAAAAGCAGAGCGCATCAGATCTATGAAGCTGAAGTTGGCTTCTCATTCGAATTTTTCCGCTCCACCTTAAACGGTGCGGCAGTTAACGTACATTATGGCGCCTGAGGTACCTTAGACGGTGACTGCTGCACCTTTTATGGTGGAACCGAAACATTCGAATAGGAATCTAACTTCTGTTTAGCTTTTTCCTTTCAGAACCAGAGCCAAACTAGTCGACATGCTTCTTCTCTGCACTGTGAATTCCTGGAGAAACGGGAGAGATTTTACTATTCAAGTAGCGATCTAAATGCGTGTCTAGTAGCCCATCTATCAGAAATCAAAGGTAACGTTAGGTTAGCCAAAGCTGCACCATCAGTATAACAGGTAAAGTTACGCTAACTAGCTACGTTTTCCAACAGCACAATCTTCGACCTGAATGTCTGCAGCCATATGGATAGTAAAAACAAACGGAGCACGAGTACCTGCCTCACTGACTCGTATTTAGCTGTTATGTCGACCTCACTGTAAACTGGTAAGTTTCATTTCACGAGCAAACAACTCCAAACCGAGGCCTCACCGGAACTCTTAACACATGTGCGCGTTCCCGCGGCGCGTGTCC